AAAGCCTCAGGTCTGTTGACCATGGAAACAAAGTTTTGGTCAAGCTAAAGACAACATCTTGACTTCAGTTGTGTTTCAGCCCCAGGCCCATTAGACCAGAATGTCCCTACTGACCACACTCTTATGAACCCAGACATAACAATGCCATGGCTCACGTCAGACCTGACACAACCTGACACAATGATCAAGCATTCCTTACACTGGCCCCAATCAATCAGTAGAGCTCACAGCCCCAGCTCCTTTGTCCACCATGGTTAATGATTTTCCAGTATAGAATCCATTCTCTGGCAGCCATTGAAGAGCCAGGTCTTTGAGTTCTAACTTACCTGGGACTCCGCGCTTGTCACTATTCCCTCAACTAATAAACCCTTTCTCTCTGGGCTGAAAGCTCCTGTTTCCTTTAAAAACTTCTTTTATTTATTGATTTTTTAGAGAGAGAAACATTAATTTGTTGTTTCACTTAGTTATGCATTCATTGGTTGATTCTTGCATGTGCCCTGACTGGGGATCAAACCCGCAAACTTGGCGTATGGGGACAACGCTCTAACCAACTGAGCTACCCATCAGGGCTCCTGTTTACTTTTGATTGGGCTTTGACGTGTACAGGTAAACGGACCCCTTTAGTCCGGTAGCACACTGGAGGGAAAAAACCTCATGTCTCATTGCTTTCTTCTCACACCTCTATCTGTGGAGAAATACCCCTTTGATTTTACTTAGTGATTTGGAGATCTTAAAGAGCAGTGTGCATGTGCTGAATCTAGTGGAACAAATGCACATAAGGACAGAAAGGAGATTCCAGGTTGGAGATTTGACCCACTTACTGCCTTGAGCTCATGGGCATCCTTTCTAATTATGGCGCATTCTTTGGTATTAGGTGGACATGAATTTGAGGGCAAGATTGAATTATTATTAAAACTCCTTGTTCTAAAAAGTGGAACTGATGAAACATTGGGAATGTGCTTTTTAAATTTTAATAGAGATAGATAAATTATTATCTCAAAAGGCTATAAAAACGTATATTCTAAAGAAAACAAACACTCCAGTTAGAGTGGGAAAAAGTCCTGGATGGACACCTCACCAAGGAAGATACATAGATGGCAAATAAGCATACGAAGAGATGCTCCACATCGTATATCATTAGAAATAAGCAAATTAAAACAACAATGAGATACTACTGCACACCTATTAAAATGGCTAAAATCCAGAACGCTGACAACACCAAATGCTGGTGAGGGTGCAGAGCAGCAGGAGCACTCGTTCATGGCTTGTGGGACTGCAAACTGGTACGGTCACCTGGGAAGGTCGTTTGGCAGTTTCTTACTGAGCTAAGCATAGTCTTACCACATAATCCAGGAATTATGTTCCTTAGGTAATTCACACAAGAACCTGCACACAAATGTTTTTGGCTTTATTTATAATTGCCAAAAATTGGAAGCAAACCAAGATGCCCTTGAATAAGTGAAAGGGTAAACAAACAGTGGTACATCCATACAATGGAATGCTATTCAGCTAAAAATAGAAGTGAGATATAAAGCCACAAAAAGACATGGAGAACCATGAAATGCATATTGCTGAGGGAAAGAAACAAGTCTGAAAAGGCTACACTTTATGATTTTAATTATAAGACATTCTGGAAAAGACAAAATTACGGAGACAGTGAATGCCGGAGGTTGGGCTGGAAGAGGAGGAGGCGTGAGCAGGCGGAACACAGACTCGTCATTAGCTCAGCGAAACTGTTCCCTGTGACACTGCTTGACACGGGAACAGTGGATACGTGAAAGCATGCATTTGGCAAAACCCATAGAACCGTACAGCACAAAGATTAATTCTAATGTACCTATGAGTTTTTGTTGTTCATAATATATCGATATTGGTTCATCTATTGTAACAAATGCACCACACCGCCACAAGATAGGAGAGCTAGTTGGAGAAAAAGAGTTTATGGGAAATTTTTACTTTCTGTTTAGTTTTGTTTTTGGGTTTTTTGTTTTTTTTTTTTTGGTGAGTCTAAATCTACTTTAAGAAATGAAGCTTAATAATTAAAATTAAAAAATAATAAATTTACAGACTCCTCAAGAGTATATATCTCCTTTTCTACTATCTCTGTTTTCACTATTTGGTGACAGAATTTTAATACACGTTCAATCTGATGGATCCAGTTTGCTATTTTATTATTGTTTTATTTTGGTTTTTTCTTTTTCTCCCCTTTTCTTCCCTATTATTTAAAACTCTAATCCTCTTTTATTAACCTACTCTCTTCTTATTCCCTTTATTTATAAGCATTTACTCACATAATACTAAAATAAAACTATGTTTTCCCAAGTCTCAGTCAGCTTTGAACTCCTTGATGCCAGGACTTGAACTTACTAACTTTTTGACCAGTTTATTGCCAGTACCTGGTACAATGCTTGGCCCTGACGGGCAGCACTAAATCTCTCGCTCTCCCCTTAGTTCATTTGGAAGATCTAACATGAAAATGGAGTTAAGGCACATACTGTAAATTAGTGGCCTTTGGGCCAAAATAGAGTCTGTAGGTGTTTTTAGCCAGCACAACATTTTAAATTGTTTTGACTTAGTTGTCATTATGAAAACATAAAACACAACATTATTTATTGGGAAAAGGACAGTCTTTTTATTTGTTTTTTACTTTTTAAAAGATTTTATTTACTTATCTTTAGAGACAGGGAAAGGGAGGGAGAGAGAGAGGGAGAGAAACATTATTGTGTGAGCGATACATCCATTGGCTGCCTCTCACACATCCCCAACTGGGGACCTGGCCTGCAACCCAGGCATGTGCCCTGACTGGGCATTGAACTGGCGACCTTTGGGCTCACAGGCTGGCACTCAGTCCAGAGCAGTCAGGGCCACACAGTCGTTTTAATGAAAAATGCTAAACAAAGTTAGACCCTTAACCTAAAATCATTTACAAAAATTAACTAAAAAATGGATCAGTCTTCAGCGTAAGAATGAAAACTGTTGCGCCTTCTCTCTCCTCCCTCCTTTCCTCTCCCCCTCTCTCTCCCTCTCCACAGCACAGCCCTTTGAATCTTCCTTGCAAGTGTATTTTCCTAAGCTCCAAGGGCCCCTTCTTTTGTTTCTGTAACTTGTTTCCTTAACCCATTTCTTTTATGGCTCACTTTTGCTGCCTCTGTAACTTTTAAAATAAACTTTCTCTTATTAAAAAAAGATTGAAAACTATAAAACTCAGAGGGAAACATAGAGGGAAAACGTCATGACATTGGCCTTGGCAATGATTTCATGGTTATGACCCAAAAAGCACAGGTGACAAAAGAAAAAAATAGACATTTTGGACTACCAAAATTAAAAGCTTTGTACATCAAAGGACACTATCAACAGAGTAAAAAACAACTACAAATCACATATCTGATAAGGGGTTACTACCTAGAACATACAAAGAACTACTACAACTCAACAACAAAAAAATCAACCCAATTAAAAAGTGGGCAAAAAACTTGACTAGACATTTCTCCAAAGAATGTATTGAAATGATCAATAAGCACATGGAAAGATGTTTAACATCACTAATCATTAGAGAAGTGCAAATCAAAACTACAATGAGATACCTCCTTATACTGTCATGGCTATTGTGGATGGAAAAGGGAGTTCTGCAATAAAATTGACAAGTACAATGACAGAAAGTAACCTCACAGGTGACCTGGTCATAAATTCCTAACTGGGAAGGTCATGGGGGTAGTCACACACCAAGCATGTGACTTTTTTAGGAAAAGTTTTATCTTTGACTCAGGCAGGCCCAGTTCATTGTTCTCATACATCTGGGTTAACATGTTACTGGACAGGAACCTGGCCTGCAGCAGGTCTGTCTTGGGCTGGCTGGTAAATATGTGGGTTCTTGACTTCGTGTAGGAAAAATTTTACAACAGAAGTCCAGGTGACTTTGAGGGTATGTTTACTAAAGCTGGGGACAGTGAAACAAGGAAGGGCTTAGGGTAGAAGAAGCAACAGAAAAGCCTAGGTGGGCTGCTTTGGCTCCCTGGGAAGTCAGAGAAGAGGGGCTTTGGAGACAGGTTCAGGGGGTTAGCCCAGGACGAGCTGCCGCTGCCCATTGCTCCCCTGGTTGCAAGTCTCATGGGAACCCTTAGAGTTTAGGTGATGCAGGCCTGTGGGGGAAGAAGGGGGAGAAGGGGAAGGTGTGGGCGTACTCCTGGGAGGGAGAGGGCTTATTATTGTTTTAATTTTTATTTCCCTGTTTTCTACTCAGATTAAACATCTTCTCCAGATTGTTGGACTTTTCAAGTTCCCTTATTATAATTCATTTGCTTTTGTCCTTTGGCCTGTTTTTCCAGTTGATTGTTAATCTTTTGATTGTGGAATTGTGAGAGTTTAAAAAAAAAACTTGCTTATTCGTTCTTTTTTTTGGTTGCTGTTGATGTGTTGCAAATGTTTCCTCATAATCTGTCATTTTTCAATCTGAATAATGATGTTATTTGTCCATAGAAAGTTTTAAATTTTGAAGGAGTTTTATATTTTGGCCTGGAAATGTGCTTCTGGGGAGACATGTGGTCTGAACCAGACCTCAGGCCCAACCCATTGCTCTGGCCAGTCTTGTCCTCTCCCGATTCTCCAAGCTGCATCCTTAGCTCTCTGCTCCAGTACGTTCCTGGAAGCTCCTTTTGAGCATGTTTTGAAGCAGGCATGGTTTATCTAATGGGATAAACCTGGCTGAAGAGATTAACGAGGTGTCTTGTGGATCCCACTTTTAATCTGTTGCCTTCAGGCTGTCCCTTCTTGGCTGAGAAGGGAGCTACAGGAACGACACCAAGGACTGGCCCGTTCATGAACTATGACTACTGAGTTCATGAGGGTCCCAGGCTAGAGGGTCAACATGGGCAGCCCCCAGAACAGCTCCCTGCAACTCCGACTGTCTGCACCCTTCCCAAGGCCCTGAGTCTTCAAGCCCTGAGTTCATCGAGGTCATAAGAGGCAGCTGGGCTGTGCTGCCCAGACAGCACCCTGCAAGCATGGTGCTGCTGAAAATCAAATTTGACCAGAAGAAGCGGATCAAGTTGGCCCAAGGGCTCTGGCTCATGAACTGGCTCTCCGTGTTGGCCGGCATAGTCATCTTCAGCCTAGGGCTGTTCCTGAAGATCGAACTTCGGAAGAGGAGCGATGTGATGAGTAATTCAGAGAGCCATTTTGTGCCCAACTCCTTGATAGGAGTGGGGGTACTGTCCTGTGTCTTCAACTCACTGGCTGGCAAGATCTGCTATGATGCCCTGGACCCTGCCAAGTATGCCAAGTGGAAGCCCTGGCTGAAGCCATACCTGGTCGTCTGCATCCTTTTCAACAGTGTCCTCTTCCTGGTGGCCCTCTGCTGCTTCCTCATGCGAGGCTCCCTGGAGAGTACCCTGGCCCATGGGCTCAAGGACGGCATGAAGTACTACCGGGACACAGACACCCCCGGCAGGTGTTTCATGAAGAAGACCATCGACATGCTGCAGATTGAGTTCAAATGCTGTGGAAACAACGGCTTTCGGGACTGGTTTGAGATTCAGTGGATCAGCAATCGCTACCTGGACTTTTCCTCCAAAGAAGTCAAAGAGTGAGTGGTCTCTAGACCTGGGACCAGAGCCATCTATGTGGGGAATGGAATCCCAGTGGTTTTTCCTCCCCTTTGGGTGCTCCGTGTATTCAAGTTATTAATGTGCATATGAGGCTGTATTTGGTTGGACCATATGGGATTGCTGATATTCCCACATTTTTGACCTATAAAGATGGCAGCTTCATATGGCTCAGCCTAATGTCTGGCTATGGTGGGAGGAAGGTGTCAAGTTATATAGGCTGATGGGATAGGAGTTCCCAGGGAGGAAGACCCAGCCAGGAATGTGTGTCTGCTTCATACAGTAGAAACTGGGCGTTCATAGAGCACATATGCTGAGATGTTACTTGGCTAACTTACTTGTCTCATTCACTCAGCGTACAGGGATTCAGTCCCAGAAGCTTAAACTTCCTCGTTAGTTCCTTTGTTTTCCAACCTTTGGATCCTGAGCATCTACTCTCAAACTGTCTGTCCTTTGGTGTGGTGGAAAGAGCCGGGGACAGGGCAGTCAGGAGGTCTAGGCTGTGGTTTTGACTCTGTTGTTAATTAGCTGGTGACTGTGGATAAGTGACTTGCCCCCGGATCCTCGCTCACTCGCCTTTTAAACAAAGACACTGAAATAATCTTGGGGTCACTTCCTAGTCCTGCGTAGAGCCTGGCATACAGCAGCTGCTCATTAATTGTTTACTTCTTAAATCATAGTAGTGCAACACTATTCAGTGTTTCTGTAGTATTCTTGGCACGTGTAAATATAAAGTCCTGGGGTGGGATGTTGGAAGTGGTGAGAAAGAGGATCTCACCCCCCCGAGCTAGGGACTCAGCACGCGCGCAGATGCCAGCACACGGCTCTCCCAGGCAGCCACCACCACGGGTCTCGTGTCATTTTCCAGGGACAGGGCAGCCTACTCAGAGCCTCTTCTTTCTATCTAACCCTACCTGTTCCCCGAGAGGTTCAGTTGATCATCCAGGTGAGCTTTCCTGTGAGTAAGGCTGGCGAGCCCTAGAGGGCTTGCAGGCAGGGTGTTGGGCACACTGGCAGCAGGCGCGGCTGAAGTCCAGATGCTACCACCAGCAAGTCCGGAAGGCTGCGCCTCAGGCAACAGAAGTCAGGGTGAAGGTCACTGCTGGGATATTCTTTTCTTTCTTTCTTTTTTTATTTACTTATGAGAGAGCAAAATGTCGATCTGTTGTTCCACTTATGTGTTCATTCAGTGGCTGATTCTTGTATGTGCCCTGACTTCAGCCTTGGCTTACTGGGACTGAGCTACCCGGCCAGGGCTGGGATTTTATTTTCTCTGTGGGTGGGGATCGCTGCTATAAATCCCCAGTCAAGGAGACATTTGTAAACTGCTCTGCCCTTCCAGGTGACATGCAGAAAGAGCACAAGAAGGCCTGATCTATATGTTTCCCCAGGAGGGTGTGAAGCCAGAGAGACAAGCAGAATTCCTGGGGATGGGGGCAGGGGAGGGGGGTGCTGATTCTAGAGCCAGTCTTTGTGAGCAGATAAGGGGCTTTTTGTCTTTTCCTGCCATTTTCCTTGATTGCCTTCTGCACAGGGCCAGTCCTTAGAGAGACTATAAAATCTCTCTGTAATCTGCAATCCCCTTTTGTCCCAGAGCAAAGGAAATCTTCAGGTTGTTACAATCCCGGTGGTCAGCATATCCAAATTTTCAGGCAAACATGTGAAAATATCCTAACTCTACTGATTTAGAAAAAAGTGTCTCTGTTACACACACACACACACACACACACACACACACACACACGAATTTGTGACAACATTAAAAGAAACAAAAACAGGAAAAGAATTCAAGTCAGATTCTCATCCACAACTAAACATGACTCGCTTGAATGTTTTTCACATTTCATTCTAGCCTTGTTAACATCTACTTAATAACATACATAGTGTAACCATGGTATAAACACAACTGAGTGCCCCATTTTGTAATTTGATAGTATAACATTTACATAATGTTCAAAAAGATAATTTTTTTCCCAGCATCGTTGAGATATATTTGACAAATAACATCGTGCAAGTTTAAGGTGTACTTTGTGTTGATTCAATATATTTATATATTGCAAAATGATTATCACCCTAACCTTAGCCAGCACCTTCATTATGTCATATGATTAGCATTTCTTTTCTGAAGTGGACATGTAAGATCTACTCTCTTAGCAGTTGTCAGGTCTATCACACAGCCTTGTTAACTATAGCCGCTATGCTGAACATCAGTTTGTGTACTTCGACCAGCATCTACCCTTTTCCCCTGGCCCCGGAGACCACCATTCTAGTCTGTTTCTATGCATTCGGGTTTTAGATTCCATATATGAGTGATATCATAGAGAATATGTCTAAAATGATTATGCTTAATGGTTGCATAATATTCCACTGAACAAGTGGACACAGGCAGGCATTTAAGTTGTCCTTAATTATTGCTGGCTTTTCTCTGCAGCATCTTCTGGGCTATAATTCTGAGGAAACAGAGGCACAGAGAAGCTGGGCTGGGGCCTCACTGCGGGGAGGGCAAAGGAACAGTGTTATTTTTCACCAAGATCTCTTTAAAAAGGAATTCTCTTTCTTCTCCCTTTTTCTTCTTCCTACCAAATTTGGATGAGCAGGAAAAAGCCTTGACCCGGAGGACTCTGGGAGGTGGTCCCCGGAGCAGTGAGCTGCTCAAAGGATGAGAAGTTTGGAAAAAATGCATCCAGGTTCTCTGGTGCATCAGGTGTGGGCCGTGTCTGGTGCCCTCGTTGGACTGGGCGAGAGAAAGCTGAGGTGCTCGCCCTCCAGCATTTCCAGCCCAGCTTCCAGGAGGAGGAGCTGGGTTCCTGCTGGGCTCCCCAGCGCCACCCAGTGCTCACCCCCTCCCTGCCATGAGCTTGTCGCCTCAGCAAGCATGGCAGGAGGAGTTGGCTGAGTTTTCGAGATTTCTTAGGAGAATCTTTAAGATGAAGGTGTTTCTGAAGCCTCCTGATCTAAACAATGAGATCAAATAGGAACAATTAGAGACTTCTACAAGAGTTTACAAGCTTTCTGGTGGCTCTGTCCCAGGCAAGTAGCTGTATGGTGGCACTTCATCTCCAGCCTGCCCATCACTAGGTTACCAGGTGGTTTGGGAGGGAAAAATGTCCTCATTTTTTTCTGTACAAAACTTCTCCTGGGGGTGGGGGTGGGGGGTGGCAGCGTGTAATTTTTTTTAGGTGTTGTCATCTTTATTTTATGGATGAGAAATCTAAGCCACAGAGAGATTAAGGGACATGATTAAACTCACCAGCAGGAATGGGGGGGGGGGGGTTGAATTTTTTTTTTAAAGCAGCTTTATTGAAATATAATTCACACAACATACAACTCACCATTTAAAGTGGGCAATTGAATAGTTTCTGGTATATTCACAAAGTTGTGTAACCAATACCACAGCCAATTTTAGAACACCTTCATCACTCTGAAGAGAAACCCCATAGCCTTTGGCTTTCCCTCCCCAGCCTCTGATAGCCCTGCCCTGCGGAACCCCTAATCTCCTTTCTGTCTCTAGAGCCTTCCCTGGTCTGGACATCTCATTTGAATGGAATCATATATTATTTGTCCTTTTGGGTCTGGCTTCTTTCACTTTGCATAATGCTTTCCAAGTTCCCCTGTGTTGCAGCACGTGTCAGAACTTCCCTCCTTTTTAGGTCTGAGTAATAAATACCCCGCTGTCCGGAGTGCCAGGTGTTAGTCCTGCCCCTGCCACTCTCCTGCATCTCCTTTCCAGCGGTGTTAAAGTGTGCCTTTGTACGGATTCGGTGGTAAACAAATCTTTGTTTTCTGACTGAAACTTCTAATTCTCCAGACCACTTTGAGAGGTGGGGGTGGGGACAGTGTCTCACTATCCTGCATCTCCCTGCCCTTCTCTGCCTGGTTCTCCACTTTCTTCTCCAGAGGAACAGTGGACGGTGTTGGCAGAGATAATGCAGGCTCAGAGGGACATCTGTGGGTTAAGACTGGATTCCAGCACTTCTGTGTGAGGGTCTCAGATAATCAGGAGGCAGCCCCACAGACACCAGACACAGGCTCCCCGTGGCCTCTGGCAAATGGGCGAGGTTCTAACCTTTGGCTTCTGTGTTTACCTTCTCATGCCCTCCCCAGCCTGGGAGAGGGGGACAGACACACTGTTATAACTGTGGGCTGGGGGGGCTCAGAGGGAGGAGCTGAGTCTAGGAACTGAGTCTTCAGAACTAGGTTTCTGGATTTGTAGTTCTCAACCAGTGCCTTTATTTCTTGCATTTTCAACTTTTATTACAAAATATTTCAAGCATTCACAGAAATAGATTATAATGAATCCCCATCACCTAGCGTCAACAAATACAAACATTTTGTCTTTCTTGTTTCATCGACACAGATCTTGGACATTGTTTCCCTTTACCTACAAATGTTTTAGGAGGCATTTCTTTTTTTTTTTTCTTTTCCCCCTTTCTTTCTTTTTCTTTCATACTTACCTGAGGATACGCTTATTGACTCCAAAGTGAGGAGTAGTGAGGGAGAGAGAGAAACATTGATGTGAGAAACATCAATTGGTTACCCTGAACTTGAAACCTAGGCATATGCCCTGCGCAGGGATGCTTTTGGTGTAATGGACGATGCTCTAACCAACTGAGCCACAGCCAGGGCCTTTAGGAGGCATTTTATAAGGGTGACTTGTTTTTTTTGTTTTTGTTTAACATGAGCACAATATTAATCATTTCAATAAAATTAACAATAATAGCATCTAATACCCAGACTGTTCAATATTCTCTGATTGTCTCAAAATGTCTTTTCCAGTTCGTTTGTTCAAATCAGGATGCAAACAGAGCCCATACTTTGCACTCAGTTGGTTGGTCTCCTAAGTCTCTTCTCTGTAACAGTTGCCTTTCTTATGCCGTGTGTGTCTTGGAGAAACCAGGCCATTTGTCCTGCAGAATTCCCCTCATTCAGGAGTTGGGCAAATGGAGCCAAGGGGTCTTCTAACTTGTTTTCTATGCCCCAGTTCCCCAGACAGAGAGCAGTCAGGGTCCAGGGGTGACTGGATTTAGGTTTAGTTTTGGCAAGAACACTGCTGAAGGGGCTGCTCTGGGCATCTCACTACGTCACACCAGGAGGAACATGAGGTCTTCGGCCTGTTTATAACAATTCCTTTAATAGGTTCCTAGTTTCAAGAAGGGCAAAGCTTCAGTGTTTAGGGGTGAGAGGCAGACATGAAGGAGCTCAGAGGCCTGGACACCAGGAATTATCCGCCAGGAAGGCCTGGCCTGGGACCTCAGACTGAAGGAAGAGCTGGCACTGAACTCTCTCACTTTACTGTCCTTCAAGGGAACCCACTGGCTATGGGCATCTGCTCACTCATCTGAACAATTTACAAACATCTCAAGAAGTCTAAACCTTGGCTAGAAACTCCCTGAGGGCAGAGCCAAGTCGTCTCCCCTCAGACTGGGGCTCCCTGAGGGCAGGGCCGTGTGTCCCCTCAGGAAAGGGCCCGGGTCAGCACGGGGGAGGCAGGCCTGGCTGGGGGTTGGGGCTCTCCTGGGCCCCCAGTCTGGAACTTCTTGGGGTCACACCTCTGGAATTAGTTTTTGCTCCCTCCAGAAGCATCGTCTTGTTGACTCAGTGCTTGCCCTGTTTCCAACCACAGATTAAGGCCGCACACAGCCTCTTAAGACAAAGCCAGGCAAAGACTGCCCCTCAGGGAGAGAGCTGGCTATTTATAGCAGAGTAGTTCTCAGGCTGCAAATCTCCTCTGCTCAGGCTCAGCAGGGCTTGTAAGGGTCTTTATTAAGGTAAAGCCTGTGAGCTAACCCTGTCTCCCATGGCCGAGCCACACACAACTTGGGACAATCATCATGTCAGAGTTTTCCTGGAAAAACCAACACAATTTAGTCAGTGAATCAATGAATCAATAAGGAAAGTCACATGGAAAGGAGCACAGCCGAGGACAAGAGGGAGACAGGAATGTAAGTGTTAATGAGTTAGATCCCAACAGAACACTAGCTATAGACACCTGCGGAACCTTGGTGACTCGACCTCTAGAGCCCGAGTCTTCTTACCTCATCATGAGAAATGGCAAGATAAGTATCTGACAGGGCTGCGGTGGAGAGTAAATGGGATAATACACAGAGAGCACCTGGCATACTGCAAGTGCAGTATAGTATTAGTGTTTCTTTTTCTGTTAGGCACAGATGTAAAGTCCTGAAGGTGTTAAGCGGGGACCTAAGAAGGGGGAGACCTGGTCCTGTCCCCAGGGAGGCCTGGTCTGAGGGGAGACACGGCCGTCCAGGAGGCCATCCTGCAGACTGAAGAAAGATCAGAGCCTCTACTGGCTTCAGCCCACAGAACTGCAGGCCTGGCCCTCACTTCAGATACATGAGGCAGGTCTGCAGGCATTACCCCAGCTTAGGGACACCTGGGGATGCTAAAGGTTAGATCATGGTGGATACAAAAGAGCTGCTGGGACAGGGATTAGGAGAGGGAAGTCACACTTTCTTAGGAAGTTTAACTAGAAAAGCCAACTGGCAGGAAAGGTTTGAGTGACATTGAGGAAACTCTGGAGGGGAGGCCAGCTGCCCTGGATTGGTCCTTCCACTCACTTCCTGCGTGGCTTTGGGCGAAGCCCTGCCCTGCTTTGGGCCCACTTCCTGCTCTGCAGAACAATCTGGTGGTTTGCAAGGTCCCATGGAGACGGCCGATGGCCGTAAGTGGGGAGAAGCCGCCAACATTCTTTGGGGTCTGGGTCAAAGTGCATTACTTGCATTCTCATTTAAACCTCCCTACACCCCCCGACAGGGTATGGTTACCTCCACCTCACACAGCTGCGGAGGGATGAGTGAAATGCAGATCACAACTGTGAGGTGCCCGGAGGGCACTGGGAATGGCCCAGCTGGGACACTATACTGCCGGGGGTGGGCTCAAGGGGCAGCCTGCCAGTCAGGAAGAGGGGTGACCAGCACTGGAGGGTGGATACCCTGGTCGTGAGGAGGTCGTATTGGGGCTGGTCTCGGCCTGAGAGGGTAGTGTCTGCTCAGTTGTGCTGAGGGTTCTGGCCCTAAAGAACGGGGCAGATGCCGCTCACGCGCAGTCAGTAGGGCTGGAGTGAGAACGGTGGCAGCTGCTTCTGTGGGCCAACAAATGTCTAACAGTCCCCATTGCAGCTGGTGATGAGCCATTCTTACAGCTTCTTCACAGTTGGCAGAATGTATGCCACACACTCAAGTGTCTGTCCCCAGCAATGTAATGTGTCACGTTGTCACAGCCACTCCCTGAGAGCACAGGAAGCAAGTGAAGTCTCTTCCTCTGATTCCCGCCCATCCTTGGCCCATGACCTTGTGTTCACTGCTTGCTTACTATGTACCAAGCACTCTTTGCAGGGATTTCACATGTATCTCTTCATATTATCCTTATGTCAATTCCATTTTACAGATGAGGAAGCTCAGGTCTGGAGAGGTTAAGGGACTTGTTCAGAGGGATGAACCGGAAGTAAACCCAGGCAGTCTGCTCTTCCCACAGGGACTGCCTGTGCAGTCAGGGCCACCCACTCTATGGGTGGTGGGTCCTTTCCATGAAATGGATGTTGGTGTAGAACTGTGATCACCATAACCCGGGCGAGGACTGTTCTGGAACCAAGGAGGCCACATTGCACAGAGCTTCCGTAAGGCTAATTATATTGGACAGCAAAGGACAGTTCACTGGAAAGGGATCATAAATGGATTTTTTTTATTGTCTCAAGTTTTATCAAGTAAAAATATGGAACACTTCATGAATTTGTGTGGTATCCTTGCACAGGGGCCATGCTAATCTCAGTATAGTTCTAATTTTAGTATGTGTGCTGCTGAAGTGAGCACCACAGATGGCTCTTAAACATCCCGAGAGATACTCAACTTCCCTCATAAAGAGAAAAGTGGAAATTAAAACCCTGAGATACTATTGTTCATGGGTCAGCTTTCATTTTTCTATCATCAAACCCGTGGGGGCTGACTGTGGGGGCAAGCTCTCTCACGCGTGGCTGGCGGGGTGTGACCGCACAGCTCCGGGGAGAAATGCAGGAGGGGCCTGGTGCCGTCACAGATGGGCCCGCCCTCTAAGTGCAGGGATGCCTCTTCTAGGGATTTACCCTCTAGGTTGGGTCACAGTGTGCGAGGTGACCCATGTCCACATTTGTATTAACGGGAGGCTGGGAAACCCCAAGTGTTCATCATGGGGAACGGCCCAGTACCCCAGGGAACATCCACACAATGGACACACCATGCAGCTCATTGAAAACCCGAGACTACTCCCCACTGAGAGATAGAAAACATCTCTGAAGACACTGGAAAGGGAAAAAAAGAAGGCTTCAAACAGTATGTATATAATGCTGCCACTTGGGTAAAAAAACCCCAAACAAACACTAAGAATAAAAAGGTTTGCAGAATCCGTGTTTGCCTGTCCCTGCGTGAAGCCTCTCTGGAAGGACAGACGAGCTGGCCATAGTAGGGGGACTAGAGGCCCATTTTACTTATTATTTTACAAAGCAAACATTTATTAACACATGACATCATGAAATGATTTTTTTGTAGAATTTCTAAAGAAACAAATTCAAGACAAAAATTCTTCTAGTCGGTAACAAAATAATCCATCATTCAAATTCCTTCTTGTTAAGATGACTTTACTCCATGAAACAGTGCATCAGTTGGGCAGGTTCATTTTCTTACCAAGAATAAAATGGTTGTGTGACAGTTACTATTTTGTTGTTATTGTTGTTCTGTAAACACAACTAGGATACGCTGTCAGAGTTGAATCTGAAGTAGTTCAGTACTGCTGTCTTTAAGAGCAGGTGTGAAATGTGTCACCAGCACCTAAAACACGCACACCGGCTCTGTAACATGCTACAAAGCAGAATAAAACGAGCATGCAGGAAGGAAGTCTTCCCTCATCAGTTTCTGGCACAGTGTAGCTATGTCTCCATTCTGGAACTTATAGATCTATAAGTTCTTTTCTCTTAGAAGTTTCTCTTAGAAATAGAAGTGTTTTCACAGCAAGTTAATAAATTAAAATGTAGAAAAACTGGTAAACAAAAGAATCATGAGATTTTATTTAGAAGCTAAACACGAACATCTTTTAGAGTATAATTATTTCAATGCGCACTGTTGAAAACAATTTATATTTTAAACAATTACAGGCTTTCTATTCTTGTGTTGTAAAAGTCTGCTGCTCTTATGGAATGCATTGTTCACATACAACTTAAATAAACCTTTTTTTAAAATTTAAGATAATATGTACACAATCAGATGTGCAAATCTTAAGTGTGCAGCTCGATGAATTTTGACACATAAAGGTGCCTGGATAACCTTGCTCAGGTCAGGCAGAACACACGCAGCCCATCTGATGGGGAGGAGAGGCCTTTCATTGCAAAGATGTCTCCTGCTTTTGAATTCTGAACCCACGTGAACATATAATGTGCTCTAACCGAATACAGGCATAAATACAGAAATTCAGAAGTGACGAGGGCTGCATCCTTTAGGTAAGGAGCTCCCACCCCCCTGGACAGAGTTCACATGAATGGTGAGCAAACTGATGGCAACAACAGTGCCTGTCTCGAGCCTCATTCCCTGCACCAGCCCTGGAAACATCTATTGAGTAGAAGGGTGTCTTGAAAGTGACTTGAAAAGGAGAGATGAAGGTGGAGGTGGGGTTGGGGGCTAAAGTCTGATGGTCACAAATACTAGGCAGAGTCTTGTTCCACGGCCACTGCCTGTCCTGTTGCTCCTACCAGCCTGCCATGGTTGTCAGGAATTGCTGCACGCCAGGGAGGTCGGATGACCTCCACATCCCCTATTTACTGGCTTCCTGGTTTGTCATCTATCTCAACCCTCTAGAATACAGGGTCCAGGAGGGCAGGAGCATTGCTTCTCTAGGGTCACTGCTCTATCTTCAGTGCCTCAAACAGTGACTGGCACAGCAAGTGCACAGCAAATATTATTCAGAGAACACATGAATGAATGAACAGTGTAGAGGGGGGATGGGAGGCACTGGTACCTGGTGAAAAGTCTGAGAAGCCCCCCTCAAGCTGTTTGTTTTCCTTCCAGTCGCATCAAGAGCAACGTGGATGGGCGGTACCTGGTGGATGGTGTCCCCTTCAGCTGCTGCAACCCCAGCTCACCGCGGCCCTGCATCCAGTACCAGCTCACCAACAACTCAGCACACTACAGCTATGACCACCAGACAGAGGAACTCAACTTGTGGGTGCGAGGCTGCAGGGCCGCCCTGCTGAGCTACTACAGCAGCCTCATGAACTCCATGGGTGCTGTCACGCTCCTTGTCTGGCTCTTTGAGGTAGGCTCCTGGCCCGGGGTGAGTGGCAGGGGAAGGAAGAGCCACTCGCTCCATTTGGATTTAAACTAGTGGAAATATTATTCATGTGTTCTCTGAATAATATTTGCTGTGCACTTACTATGTGCCAGTCACTGTTTGAGGCACTGAAGACAGGGCAGTGACCCTAAAGAAGCAATGCCCCTGCCTTCCTGAACCTTACATTCTAGAGGGTTGAGACAGACGATAAACCGGCCAGGAGCACAGGCCTCCCCTTCTTGGAAGCAGCCCTCTTGCCTGGACATGGGTCATGAAGGCCCAGGCTTAAACTCTAGCCCCTCTACTTTCTTTTTGTTTATTTAGGTCCTATTACTTAAAAAATAATAATTCGAGCCCTGGCTGGTGGGGCTCCGTGGACTGAGTGCTGGCCTGTGAACTGAAAGGTCACTGGTTTGATTCCTGGTCAGGGCACATGCCTGGGTTGCAGGCCAGGTCCCTGGTTGGGGCCGTGAGAGAGGCAGCCAATTGATATTTCTGCCACACAATAATGTTTCTCTCCCTCTCTTTCTTTCTCCCTTCCCCTCTCTCTAAAAATAAAAAATATCTTAAAAAACAATTCATTGAGGTGAAATTCATAGGATATAAAATTAACCATTTTGAGGTGAACAATTCAGTGGCATATAGTACATTCACAATGTTGTGCAACCACCACCTCTATCTAGTTCCCAAATACCTCCATCACTCCAAAGAAAACCTCATACCCCTTAAGCAGTCACTCCCCCTTCCCCCAGACCCTCACAGCTTCCAATTTGTGGTCTGTCCTTGTGCATTTACCTATTCTCAAATTTCATATAACTGGAATCATACGAGGCCTGTCCAGAAAGTATCCAGCCATGTACTATGAAAAAGAGACATTTATTGAACATGATAGAAGATACAAGAGACATTGTACATAGGACAATGACACCTTAGTCCCCTTCAAAGTTGGCACCTTGGGACCTCAGTTCTCCCAAATGCCATCAGCTGCCCTGTCATATTTTCGTGAATCTCATCAACGGTCTGAAATTTCTTCCCTTTCCAAGGTGATTTTAGTTTTGGGAAAAGCCAGAAGTCACAGGGTGCCAAATCTGGGCTGTAGCGGGGCTGAGTCACCTGGGTGATTTGATGTTTGGCCAAGAAGATCTGCACAAGATCTTTTGTGATGCATGAGTGGGCACACTGTTGTGATGAAGCTGCCAATCACCAGCTGCCCATAGCTGTGGCCTTCTGAATCATCTGAGTAGTTTTTGCAGAGAAATTTTCAAACTTATTGCAAAATTTGATGCAGATTCATTGCTCTACTCCTTCAGTCATTTTGAATGTGACGGCCAGACAGTACACAGGATCACTCAATAGCATCAACTGCCCCCACTGACTAGTACAGTGAAGTTGTCATTGTTCACACATGCGCATTCCAGTCTGGTCTCCCTGGCTGCCTGGTTACACTTATGTCATGCAAACTGTTCTCATTATATTAACAAATGGTTGGACTTTTTCTGGACAGACCCCCATATACCATGTGACCTTTTGTGTCTGGCTGTTTCATTTTGTACATTTTGGAGGTTCATCCAGTGCCTCCACTTGTTGATCTGAAATCTTGGAAGGTTATTTAACCTCTCTGTTATTGGGGGTTGACAGCACTTAGCTTTGGGACGACTGGGAGACAACAGATTACAGGTATGGGCGAACATTCAGTAAATGGGATCTATTTGGATTCGTGCTTCCCTGGAGATGTCAGCTTCCATTTACCTGTTATTTTAATTATTTGTGGCTTCATCTCATCTCAGCTGTAAAGCTTAACTCCTCTCTGTAGTTGCAGGGCTAAGAATGTAGCAAGACCTCAGTGAATGCTCAATTCATTTATTGAAGAGATTTTGCAAACCTAGCTTGCTCTGGGCGCTGTCCTGGGTGCTGAACAAGAGCGTGGGTTAGTGAGTGGTAGACCAAGGTGGCATGGGGTGATTCGGCTCCTGCTTTGAGCTGAGAGCAGAATATCCAGATTCCAAATTCAAAATGTACAAAATCAGAAACATTAGGTGTGGAAACTTTCCATCAGAGAAGGTTCGCTGAAAGGTTCCAGTAAGTAAGTCTCTTAGTGCGATGGAAATTCTCATGTAGCTGTGCCCTTGGCTGAGACACCCCACTTCTAACTCACCACCTCCCACTAGAAGGCCTACACCTCCTCAGGGTGGGGTGGGGAGGGAGGGCTTCTTTTAATGTTGAGGCAAAGTCTTGGGAATGAGTGCGCAGAATGAGGAGAGAAGCTTACTGCGAGAAGGTTGGAGTCTCACTAGCTGCCTCCCAGGGTACCCACCTTTACTTTATCTAGATACTGCATAAGGTGAGAGCCAGCTCACTGTGAACAGGAAGCTTGAATGCCCTGACTTTAACTGGAGGCCTTTAGTGGGCAGAGTTTTGTGATGGGCACGAAGGTGGCTGGGCTAAGACAGAATTCTGCCCTGAGCCTTGTCCTCCAGGGCTTCACAATCCAGTTAGGAGATGACATCTAACTCATGAACCCAAAGGAGAACAATTACCAAGTACAACACTCGTTGCAGCTGTGGGCCTCCTTTAGGAAGGCAGGAGGGGATCACAGTGGGTACATGCACACCAGAAGGACTTCCAGGAAGAGGTAAGTTTTTCCACTGTTAAAAATATTAAACTTTTGCCCCGGCCAGATGGCTCAGTTGGTTAAAGTGTCATCTTGTGTACCAAAAGGTTGTGGGTTCGATCCCTGCTCAGGGCACATACCTGGGTTGCAGGTTCAATCCCTAGTCGGAGCTTCTATGGGAAGCAACCAATCAACATTTCTCTGTCATATCAATGTTCTTCTCTCTCTCCCTCCCACCTCTATAAAACCAATAAAAAACATATCCTTGGGTGAGGATTAAAAAAAAAAACCCAAAATGTTAAACTTTTAATTGATGATACCAATAAGAAAAACCTAAAACTCTATTAGTTACTGTTACCGCCTCCTATCATAATTATAAAATGCCCCCAGAGCATTCATTCAAGAGATGCAGCCCTACCACCAGCCGTTGCTGTTCCAGGGGCTGGGATACTGGGCGAACAAGGTGCGTCAGGGTCAACCCTGCCCTCGGGGGGGGGGGGGGGGGGGGGCGGTCTCCAGTGGCAGGGCCAGCCCTTTCACAGGGTTTGCTATACCCTAAAAGGAGAGGCGCAAGACAGCAAACAGAAGTCTAAGGTAGAAACAAGCGGCTAACCCAATACATTATTAGGGAACTGAAAACAATACTTACCATGCTAACTAGTAACTGGTACAGTTGACACTTCTATTCATCCTCACTATAGCAGGTGCCACGCTCTGCACAGTCTGAAGCATCACAGCACACATGTGAGGCAGGCAACATTTCACCTAAAAGTTTGCAAACCAGATAAGTAAAGAGAGGTTTCTTTGTCACATGGCTGGCTAAGTGCCAGAGCTGGGATGTGAACCCAGGCATTTTGGCACCACAGTCTGCCCCAGTGACTGCTAGCGAAAAAATCCAAATAAATCACCCACTCACTCTCATATCACTGAAGGTAACAGAAGTAGAGGAAACCACATAGTATACTGTTTGCAGAAAAGGAGGTCACTGTTTAATTCCTTCCAGCAGACAGTGAATACCCAGTATGTGCCAAACAATGTGCTAGGATCAGGACGGGGGCACAGGGAGAAGGAGCCCAGGACTAATGCCCCCAGGACAGGAGAGACCTGAGAGGAAGGGGAAGGGGAATGAAGAGCAGGGACATGCACCAAGAACTGAAGCTGGATTAACAGGTGAATGTGGAGAGGAACAATGTTCCAGGCGTAGAAAACAGCACATGGTACCAGCTGGGGAAGAGAAAGGCTGGGCTGTGGCAGGATCCCAAGAAGCAGAGTGTGGCCAGAAAGGGAGAGAGGGGTAGATGAGGCTGGATGAGGGCAGCTGTCTTGAGTGCCCAGGCCAGGCTGAGGTAGACAGGTCCTCCCCAACCAGACTCACCAGAGCCCGCCTCATTTGAAGCAATGAACAGGCCTGTGGCTCCCATGATTTCCTGAGAGCTCCGTCCCCCAGCTACTTCTCCCAGATCTCCTCTAAGTCTCCTCTCCTCCCTCCAGGTGACCATCACAATTGGGCTGCGCTACCTACACACGGCACTGGAAAGCGTGTCCAACCCTGAGGAGCCCGAGTGCGAGAGTGAGGGCTGGCTGCTGGAAAAGAGTGTGCCGGAGACCTGGAAGGCCTTCCTGGAGAGCTTGAAAAGGCTCGGCAAAAGTAACCAGGTGGAAGCCGAGGGCGCAGGCGCGGGCCAGGCTCCAGAGGCTGGCTGAAGGCCCCAGGGTCCCTGCCCTCCTGAACAATGGGAAGTAGGGGACTACAAGGAATGTGGCACTCCCCTCATCCAATCTCAATCCCCCAGGGAGGGTGGCTGTCTTACAGAGACTCTCCTTGATGGTGGGACTGAAAGTTTAGGGTCCCTACAAGTATTTGGCTAACACTTGTTGAAGAACTGACTCAAAATGTGAGTGAATGAGCCCCCCTCAGGCCCACTGCTGTCGCATAGGCCCTCTTGATGGCCCCTTGGATGACGACTATGCCCATAACCCATCTCTCTCATGGCACCTGAGTTCATTTCCACCCCAAGGCTACTGGCCACACCTGAGGGCTACTTCCCTTTGATGAGTTTGCCATTATGAGCTCCAAGCCGCTTCATTCTATACCCAAAGCGTCACTAGGTGCATAAGCACAGGAGTCTGAAAAAAATGTATGGGCAATGTTGTCATTTAAAAAAAAAAAATGCCAAGGTTGACAGGGCAGCCATTTTGTTTGTTTAATGGTGGAAGGTGGGGAACAGTGATATTCTTCTAAGAGTATTGGGCTCTCCAAAGCAGTGAGGGCTCAAAAGAGGAATTCTTCAATCATGGGGCGAGAGAACATAAAGACGGGATTATTTCCCGCCACCAAAAATGTGGTTCGAGGCCTGTTCTTCTGTCTCATTCACATGCCCTCACTTAGCCAGGAGCGAGCCATGGCCTGAGGAAGTCAAGACATTGGCATGTTCCAGCCACATCCCACTCTGAAAGGATGCGTGAGCTCCTCTGGCTGTCCGTGGAAGCACTGGGTGGATGGCTGCCCTTCTGCGGAGAAGGGGCAGCAACCAGACAGGACGCTGCCCTTTGGAGACCAGGCCTCACCTCTTGGTGGCGCAGGGCTGCTCACACAGGTGGCCATGTCAGCTGCCATGGACAACGCTAAGTGTCTGCAGTGGAGGCCAGAGTCCCCTGGGAGCGTCTTCCTGTTTCTATCCCCAGATACCCATCCTCCAAAGCAATGTTACTGGAATGCCTCTAAAGAAGATTCTTCGAGACAGCCCATCTTCCTGAGCTAGCAAATGCAACAGAAGTTTTCAGTTCCTTCAGGAAAAAGAGAGAAAGGACACTTTTTTTTTAGTTGAAGGAGAGAATGATTTCACTATCATCCTGAGTTTCCAGTGTGGAGAAAGTAAGACTCTTGGTGCTGCCTGGGGTTTGTTCTGCGGCTCTAACTCTCCAGGCCTAAGATTGATCAAAGATGTTTGGACACTGTCAGACTTTGGTCCCAGGTTTAATTTGCTTTCAGAGTCTCCTTGAGACCAAGGAGCGATCCACATTGAAAATGCTGAGGGAGTCAGCGGCCTCTGACGAGGGTTCCGGAGCCCTCTCCCCTCCTAGGGGTGCTGGGAGCCATTGCGAAAACGCTGCTCTAGGCCAGATGTGTAAACCATGCTGTTAACAGCTGTACAAACAGACATTAAAAAATATGTTCTATGAAAACCACTTTTGTGTATGAAAATGCCTGTCTTAGCCTATTCAACAGCATGTGCCACAGGACCCCCAATTCTACCTAATATTTTTTAACAAAACCAAATCTGACACTAAATGGAAGCACTGTTAATGATCAGGGTAGCTGTGTTTTGATAGCATTGGGGTTACCTCTCCTCTTTATGCTTTCTGTTACCTGCAACAGGTTATCCAAATAATCTCAGCATTTTGCCTGGACCAGAGCTGAATTTATCTAATATTTTAATATGTGGTATCTTGATTTAGTGATTTAAGTAAAAATTCCAAAACATTTCGCCCCCTGCTCTGGTCAAAACATATTTTGCCAAACAGAACAGTGTGAGCCTTGGTGGGGCCAGGTTATAGGGCGGATGCAAGCAACCTCAGGATCTGAGAGCTGTTGGGAGGGCCAGGGATAACTGATCCTCCCATACACATTACCAGCTGGTTCAGAGCAGACTTAGGGTGAGCTTCATTTTAACAGGTTTTCTCAGGGAGCCATAGTTGCCAGAGAAAGCTGGCCCATCTCTTTTGGTCATCTACCAGTGTCCAGCAAGACTCCGGTATCAGGTTCTTCCTTGTGTCTAACCTCAGTCTTTCCTTGGGCCAGTGCAAATTCATTTCACCCAAGGGACTCAGTCAATTTTCAAAGTCCTGCCAGCCTAGCCCTGGGGTAGGGTGAGAGGTAAAGACAGTGCCTTAGGACTTTTATTTTTAAAACCCTCCACAGTGAAGAATTATTTTGAGTATTTAGGAAGGTGTCCTCGAGTTTGTGAACTTAGCTCAATAACCCCATAGCCTCTTATAACCCTTTCATGCCTGGGACAGAGCCACCAGCAAGTAAACCCCGAATAACCTCAATACAGGTTAATAAGATTAGGAGCTTGCTCTGCACACTGCCCTGCCCCTCCTCGTCTGGGCACTAGTAATGCTAAGCCACATTCGCAGCTTGGACTGGGCGGGGTGGGAGAGGGGTGGGGACCTAGGCAATGAGAGCCTCTGACCTGCTACTGGATAAAAAGATAGCTTCTCTTTTCCCAAAGATGGCGCCCAAAACGAAGGAGGTTTTGCCCCTCCCAAAGCCGAAGCCAGAGCCAAAGGTTTGAAGGTGAAGAAGAAAGTGCTGAAGGGTCCACAGCTACAAAAAAGATCCACACGTTACCCACCTTCCGGAGGAGGCCTAAGACACTGCGGCTCCAAAGGCAGCCTAAATATCCTCGGAAGGGCGCCCTAGGAGAAAAAGGCTTGACCATTGTCCCATCCTGAAGTTCCCCTGACTACCGAGTCAACTATGAAGAAGACAGAATCAATGATACATTTATGTTCATTGTGAAGGTCGAGGTCAACAAGCACAAATAGGCTGTGAAGCAGCTCTATGACAGACGCGGCCAAGGTCAGCACTGAGATCAGGCCCAATGGAGAGAAGAAAGCCTACGTTTAACTGGCTCCCAACTATGACACTTCAGGTGTTGCCAACAAAATTGGGACCATCTAAACTGAGTCCAGCTGGCTAATTCTAAATAGAGAGCTTCTGATAACAGCATGGCCAGCCAGGGGCACTGTTAGGAATAGCAACATGGGGGAATAGTACATTTGTCTAGTGAGAGGGGATACCTTCCCAATCCTCAGTCAATTTGAGAGTGGCTTGAAAGGATACGTTCGTCCTAACTCCTGATAGCATTCTATCTTGTCCTCCAAACAGAGAATGAATAGATATAGTAAAGTTAAAAAAATGTTGTATAAGGGTGGTACAGAGTGGGTTAAGATGCAGGGGTGTCTAACCCATGGCCCAGGACAGCTATGAGCGCAGCTCAACACAGTATCATAAATTTATTTAAAACCTTTTTTTGCTCATCGGTTTTCATTAGTGTTTGTGTATTTAATGTGTGGCCCAAGACAACTCTCCTTCCAGTGTGGCCTCGAGGCACCAAAAGGTTGGACACCCCTGAATTATGAAGGAAAACTCCTAGCTATTTATTCAAAGGGAATGAAAACTTGGGTGTACACCATAACCTATACATACAAGTTTACAGTGGCTTTATTTATAACCACCAAAAATTGCCCAGAAGTCCTTCATCTGGTAACTGCATAAGCATCACCTGGTGAGCAAACACCTGAGATAAAGGATACATGTGTTGCTCTTTCATGTAAACTCATCTGCTGCATATGCACAATGGAATATGGCTCAGCAACCAAAAGAAACATGGATGACTCTCAAATGCATGTCTTCCTGTGAGAGACCAGACTCAAAAGGCTACATCAAATAAAAGGACAAAAAAATTTAGTGGTTTCCAGGAATCAGAATGGGGGAGGTGACACAAAGGGGCATGAGAGAGCTTGGGATGATAGAACTATTTTATTTCTTGATTGTGGTTGTTAAATAAGCCTCAAAAAACCTAACTTGAAAAACAACAGTAAGAACATATATGCATAACCCACAGACACAGACAACAGTGTGGTGATGGCCAGAGGTGGGGGGGGCGTGTTGCAGGGCCCGGGAGGAAGAGGGTGAATGGGGGGAAAGTGGGGACATCTGTAGTAATGCAACACTAAAAAAAAAGAAAAACAACAGTAGGAACAGAGCAAGGAGTGCATCAGAGGGCGTAATAAGCCCTGAACTGACGGCATGAGGACCGGGGAGGAGCGCAGCTGAAAGCAGCCTTGTGTAACCAGGGGGCAGCACAATGGAAACCTGGGGTTTTCGGTATGATGCTTTCCTTTCAAGAACATTTTGAAAAGTACAGCAGAGCTCTTGCGGGCAATGCCTCTCCCCCCCAAATACAGGAGGCAGCTCCCCTCCTACACGTTTCTCTCAGCAGAAAATGTCTGGGGAGCGCCTAAGAACAAGGACTGGGGTCAGGTAAAAATGAGCAAGAAGAGTTTAAACCTGGAGACAGGCCTTGGCGCTGGGAGCCCATTTTCCCAGAGATCTGAGGTCCATAATGGTTGAGAAAGGTCACAAGCTGTCATAGCCAATGAATATAAAACTTAATCAGCTGAAATGATGACCAAGCTTTCTATGGGAAGGTCAAGATTGTTTGGCTCATGGCCATACCTGACACTAATAATATAAGCATCTTAAATTTCAAGCTAATACAGATGTCCCACTTTATTTGTAGCAAGGTGACTTGGGGAACACTTCCATGGTACTTAACTGTGTGAAACAAAACAGAAAGAAAATGTAGACAATGTCAACACCTAAAGCATTTATTTGGATATCTTTAAACTCTTTACATATGATACATCCCAAATTTTACAAGTTTTCCACAGATATTAGTTATAGCCAATTTATTAAACAGATATGATTTTCCCTGATATGGAAAGCATGTTACATAAACATTTCCACAATAAACATAATACATGCGGAACAAATCATAAAGATCGTAAGATGATTCGTTAGGTAGGGAAGACAATTAGCTTAATGATGCAAACATTATTTCATCTTCTAAATTTATCTTCTGTCAGACTCTGACATTCTTAGAGAATGAAATCCAGGGACACCCTCTGCTAACAACAGGCTTCTGTGATGTCTGTCCCGAAAGCTGGAAAATGGTTGACTTGATGAAAATGTCCACAATACCTTTATGAGGGAGAGACCTGGTCTTTATCATTTTAGATTTAATCCTGGTGAACATTATTGAGAAAAGCCAAGAGAAGCTGAAATTAAAAGCTAAAGGAACAGGGATGTGACATTAAAATAATTATGCACCCACAGCCCTAACTGCCAGATCTTACTAATGGAGAAAAGGCCAGAAAAGGGTGGGGGGAGGCACTGCACTTTAATTTGGATTTTCTTCCTATAGGGTGAGAGACACCTCCTCTCAGCTGGGTGAGCCAGTCCCAAGCAAGAGGGGTCACGGTCATCCTTTCAGAAAACTACCTCGGAGGGGAAACAGTGAATGCAGCTTCTGCATCCCCGCTTATTTTAGCCTGAGGTCTGGATTTCTGATCTTCTTTCTGGGCACACTGTTGAGTGTACAAAGTCAAGTGCAAAGGAACTTTTAGACACAGTTCAAAGAAAAACACCGAGTGAAAGGGTTACTGGCATTGGCTGAAAAAAATCCAAGAGCCTCTGAATTTATTCCTCCACTAAATCTGCCATCACTCTCTGTGCGTATTCAAGCTCTTAGCACATGTACATCAAAAACCAGAGCGGCTGTGTGGTACTTAATAGTTATAATCTATTAGTTACAATCTAATAGTTGTAATATTAGTAAAAACAATAATGTTTAAAAAGAATAAAAAGCCTGGGCATACAGGCTGTCCCCAGGAATGCGCTAAGTGAGCCGGCAGGTCAACAGCAATCCATCTATTCCACGAAATGCGAGTAGGGATGGGGGTGTGGGAACCTCAAAACACGGTTTTTGTTTTTGGCCAGTGTTTGATTCTAGATGCATAAACTCTTCCATTTAGTCTTAGAAATAAGAGAATATATTATCTGAAAAATTAGGATACTCTGTTTTCAAAAAGCCCTTTAAAATGAGTTTTTTCTCTCAAAGCCAGAAGTCTTGCCGAAAAAGAAAAAAAGAAAAAAATTCCAACCTTCCACAGCTCTGAAAAGTACCCAGCATTCGAAGCAACAACCTTCTCCCCTTCCTCCCAGGGGTTCCTCAGGCACAGCTGCCCGCTGTCCTCCCTCAGCTGACGCAGGTGAGGGAATGCTGCTTTCCAAATCCGCTGCTCTGTTCTCAGAGGTAGGGTCCTGTCAGCAGAGGGGACACTGACCCAGTCCATGCTGAGAATCACCGAGAGGAACCAGGAAATGTGACCCAGATACATTACAGAGACTGCTTCCTCCTGCTGGTGAATCAGCTTCAGGCCCGAGTGCCCTGTGATCGGTAACGTACCGTGGCTCAGACTACTGGAACGGTCAGCTGCAGTCACGCTCGCAGTGGGGCTGTGTCCAGCTTAGGAAGAGAAGCTCCTCACAAGAAGTTATGTTTGAGGGAAACAGCAAACAGTGCAAGAAAATATGCTGACGGAAGATGATTTTCATCAGCCCATGGAGCCAGAGACTATAAAAATAAAACTGGGAAGAAAAGCTTAACTAAAGAATTTATTTCCAAATCCAGTAGAACTTATTTCCTATTCTTTCTTGAAAAGCTGCTAAGTTACAAAAATCCAAGTTTATGTTTTTGGTAGCGCAGTGATTATAAATGTTGCCAGTCAACGCCAACCAGTGTCTGATTTGCTTCCTGTGCGTGTCCAATTTCCTCTGTGATACTGTGCTGGTGCCAGAGCTTCTGAATCTTCTTAAATCGCTCTTTGCACAAATGTAAAGGATTTCCCCGTCTAGAAAGAAGACAGATGTCACTCTGGATGCACTCTGTTTATTCATTTATTATATCCCAGCCTTTCCTGGTTTTGGAAAAGTTACAAGTTACTGGTCTTAGATCTGCAAAATTTCTGTTTGGCAGGCGACTGTGGCTATTTAGACATTATTAACTTTGAAGGTTTGCTAGGAGGAACTGAAGGGGAATTGCAAGCTGAAAAGAAGAGGAAAATGCACACGAGCTATACTTCCTCAGACTGGTGTGGCAATGTCGGGGGAGGGGGTTGTTGCATAGGATGGTCTGAGTTGAGAGGCTAAAACTACTGATTCATTATCCATTTTGTTGATTAAATAAAAAAGAAAGGAGGGGGCAGGGGAGAAGATGAAAGGAAAATTACAGGGGTACGTATGTTCCTCAGAGGGCTGTCTTTCAGCCACAAAGACGAAGCAAAGCAGCCAAATCTGAGTAACATCTGGGTCTAATTTAACCAGAGCACAGGTTTTGGTGAGTTCACGCCTGGGACCTTTACTCTCAATTCACAGTGCATAACCCTCCTCTCATTCTCTAATCAAGGCTCCTCCTAAGAGCCCACACTCCTTAGAGAACAGGAAGACCCATCAACAGGTGGCATGTTCCTCTATAACCTTGCAGCCGAGCACCTGGGGTATCCCATTTACTTAGTCTGCCTCAGTTTCCAGGCCTTGAATTTCTGCTCCTCTGGATGGTTATACCTAAGTTAAAACTTTCACCTTCTTTGGGCAGAAAGAGATGGATGGTTTAATAGTATGTGAGAGAACTGCTGTTAGCATTTGCTTTATACCGTAATAGAAGTTACCATAAAAGTGACTGAGTTTCAAATACTGTTGTATTGCTCTATATGTCCTAAATCTTTGTCCCACAGATTCTTACGTAATAAGCTCATTTCTTATCAAGGAAGATTTGCTCACTTAGACCACTTGAAGAATACTGGGTCTCTCCATACAAAGCCACGCAAGTTCCAAGTTCCAATGGGCTATCCCTGCAGTGCTCTGATGCTGTAGATGCCACATGGCAATTCAAACAGCTCAGGTTCTCTGGAGTGAGGAATGGAAAGAAGCTGCACTATGTCCTGTTCTTTCCACTTATCTTTCCCGATGGCCCTCATGATATTCTGAAGCCTGGGAAGGGGAATGCCACACCAGGCAGCCAGGGTGCCTTCCTCGGAAGAACCCACAGACACCAGCTACCTCTGCGGGAACAGGAGCGCCGCAGCTGCAGGGGGCTGTGAGCAGACCGGCCTCGGGAGCGCATGGCTCACCACGCTCACCATGCACTGAAGGTTCTGGGGGCCCAGTGAGCCGACCCAGCCCCCTAGGACGGGAGCCCTTACCTGAGCCCCTGGTCAGTCTCTCCATAGTCATCAAGGTAAGGAGGAGAATAAAAACAGCCTTTGGTTTTGCCGGCTAAAAATAGCACCTGACATTCCCGTACTCTGTAGAGAGAGACCATTTACACATTACACATTACAATCAAGGTTTAGAGTCAGTTTCAAATGGACTGAAGGCTTACAAAAATAAATAAATAATGGCATTTACAGCAGAGACACAATAGTATTAACATATCTGCTAAAGTTTTAAAAATTACTAAAAGGGTTGTATTGTGAATCGATAGAGGAAGAGGAACATTGTGAATTAGGAATTGACAGCTCACATAATAATAGCATTTAAAAAACTAAGTGTGAGAAAATGAACTTCCTACACATAAGATAGCTACTTGTATTTTAACCACTATTATGAGGAAATTACTCTTTAAAAAACGGTACACAAACCTTGTGAATTAGGTTGACCTGAAACACAAAACAACACTGCACATGACCAACAGACTTTGAAATATGCCAGGGAGGGGACAGTGCTACTTTCACATTTTCCCTGTGGGCTATTTGAAAATGTGTCTCCTGATCCCTGAGACGTTTGTCAGGCACCAGGGAGTACTAAGATTGCTAAGATATGTAGATATGTCCCAGAGGAGCTCAAACACATGTCACTTCTCTCTTATCCAAACCCTGAAATGGTTTCCATCTCACTCAGAGATGACACTGGGACATGCTAGGAACCACGATTCTCTCCCACAATTCTATGCCAGTGACACCAGCCTCCTTGCTGTTTCTAAAATACGGTGGCACGTTTTCTGGCAATTCTGTACTTACTGCTCCCTTTCTAGAATGCTCTCCCCACTTCTTTAGGTCTTTCTTCAACAGTTACTTTTCCAGGGAACATTTCCTGGTTTCCTATCTAAAATTCAACCCCCCTGGAGGTGGAATTGGTAGGGAATTAATAAAGTTTGGGCCTTTTGTTAAAAACAAAAAAAAAAAGATGCTACTTCCTATTCCCCTCTGCACATAGCACTTTCTAAATTCTTATCAGTCTTGTTGATTTTCTATTTCACCCATTAGACAATGAGCTCCAGGAAGGCAGGGACTTTGATCTGCTTTGCTGACTGCTGTAGGCTTACTGCCTAGGGCACAGAAGTTCCCAGTAAGTACTTGTGGTGCACTGTTGAATATATACAACTATATACGTTGTCCTGTGATATGTATAAATCCCAAACCATGAATATACAATTAAAGGAGTAATTGTGACTAGATTTGGGTAGAAAATCTCATCAGACAACTGGAAGTTTCATATTAGAATGGCACTTGAGAAAAGCAGAACAGAATTCTCACAGGGGCAGGAATGATGATAATGCAAGAACCAACAATGAACAAGCGTGAGCCAAATCTGAGATGTGACACAAGGCTTCTCATGTTCTCCAAATGAATAAAACATGAGAACAGCAGTCTCAGAATTCTTTGCAATGCAGTAGTGTTTTGTGCCACCCTTTGACAGGCACACACTGTGGCAGATACAAAGCTAACAAGCTCTGTCCAGGGCCTTACCTCAGGAAGATGCCCACTCCAGAACCACAGGAGTAGGTGTGAGCCGTGCAAGCTCCCACATCCTCCCCTTCCAGTTCAGTCTGACAGCAGTAGCTCTGGGAGCACAGCAAAGTTCCACACACAAGGCACAGAGTTGGGGCTCGGCTCTTATCACCGCCTGATTTGGGGCACCTCCACAGAACAAAAAAAAGCGTAAGTCATTGCTCTACAAAAGAGAGGTTGAAGAGCTGACGGTAAAACCACGGTGGCTCTGGCTGGTGTGGCTCAGTGGGTTGAGTGCCAGCCTGTGAACCAGTAAGTTGCCAGTTTAACTCCCAGTCAGGGCACATGTCTGGGTCGCAGCCCTGGTCCCTGGGCACTGGGCTGGGGGGGGAGGGGCGGCGGCGGTGTGTGAGAGGCAGCCAACTGATACTTCTCTTGCACATCAATGTTTCTCTCCCTCTCTTTATCCCTCTCTCTAAAAAAAAAAAAAAAAAAAAAAAAAAAAAGAGAGAGAGAGAGAGAGAGAAAGATAATAAAATCTTTATTATAAAAAACCCAAACGCTGTGGAAAAGGAATTTTGCTCCACTTCTGGTCAAGAGGTGGTGTAGGCCGGCATGGCTCACTTCTTTGCACAACCACATCAAACTTACAACTAAAATATACTAACCATCACTTAGAACCATCTGAAATTGAGCTGAATGGAAGCCTGACAACTACAGGATTAAAGAAACCACATCTGTCCAGACTGCTAGGAGGGGTGCAGACACAGAACAGGCTGGTCCCTCACCCATGTGTGGTAGATAAAAATTGGAAGGCATATCTCCGGAGTGAGGAGTCCCAACCCACACCAGGCCCCCCAGCCCAGGGTTCCAGTGCTAGGAAGGTAAGTCGCCTCAACTACTGGCTGAAAAAATCAATGGGGATCGAGTTGGTGGGAGAAACTGCTGGGGCTTCAAGCAGTTCCTCTTGAAGAACCCGTACACAGACTCACCTACTCAGACTCCCTCCCTCTGAGCTCCAGCACCAGGGTGGCAGCTTGAAAGGCACCAGTGGTACACAGGGAGGAACGGAAGTCTCTGGCATCAAGGTGAGCAGGGGCCATTGTCCCCTTTATAAGCCCTTCCCCCGAATAGAGCAGGCAAGCTGGTGCCACATCTGAGACTCCAACAACCTGGCTAACACTGTTTGACCCACCTTGGAGATGCCCCAGAGACTCTGCCCCACCCAATTTACAGGACCACCCAAGCTGCTTTTCCGTAAATGGCTGATCCTGGCTCAGGTGTCACAACTTCCTAAGTCCTACCAAACAAGCAGCAGCTGCCCTCTGTGAGCACCAGTACCGGCACTAGCAACAGCCAGCCGAGATTCACAGCTTGGTTTCGCCTAACACAAGTAGCATCCATCTCAGGTTGCTTTATAGCTCAGGCAGGGAGGTCCTGGGCAAAACACAGGTGGGGACTGACCTTGGCCTGCACCACCTGGGAAACCCCAGGGCCAGTCAGTGCATGTTGGAGCACCACCCTACTCTAACTGAAATAAAGAACAATTTACAGGGAAACAACAGTAGAGTGGGTGACGCCAAAAATCAAATCAACTGATATGGATAAGAAAGTGAAAAACAACCAGTCAGAACAACAAGAAGAAAAAAAGAATCCAAAAAAATGAGGATAGTATAGGTAGCCTCTGAGACAACCTCAAGAGGACCAGCACTTGCATCATGGGGGTGCATGAAAGAGAAGAGAAAGAGCAAGAAATGGGAAATCTATTTGAAAAAATAATAAAACTTCCCTGATTTGGTGAAGGAAACAGACATGTAAATCCAGGAAGCACAGAGAGTCCCAAACAAGATGGGTCCAAAGAGGCCCACTCTAAGACACATCATAATTAAAATACCAAAGGTTAAAGATTAAAGAGAGGATCTCAAAAGCAGCAAGAGAAAAGCAGTTAGTTACCTACAAGGGAGCTCCCTATAAGACTGTTAGTGGATCATTCTCCAAAGAAACTTTGCAGGCTACAAGGGAATGGTGAGAAATATACAAAGTGATGAAAAGCAGGGACATACAGCCAATATTTCTCTACTCAGCAGAGATATCATTTAGAATGGAAGGGCAGATAAAGAGCTTCGAAGACAAGAAAAGATTGAAGGAGTTCATCATCACCAAACCTATTTATATGAAAGGGACTTATTTAAGAAAAAGAAGATGATCAAAAATATAAAATAAAATGGCAAAAAATATAAATCTACCAACAATTAAATCTAAAAAACAAACTAAGCAAACAAGAAGAACAGAGACAGAATCATGGATACACAGAGCATTTTGTTGATTGCCAGATGAAAGGGGGGTGTGGGGGAATGGGTGAAGAGGTGAGGGGATTAAGAAGTACAAATAGGTAGTTACAGAATAGCCATAAGGGTGTAAAATACAATATGGGAAATGGAGTAGCCAAAGAACTTATATACATGACTCATGGACATGAACAATGGAGGGGGGGACTGCCTGAGGGAATGGGGTGTTTTGGGTGGAGGGGGGCAAAGGGGGAAAAACCAGGACAACTGTAATAGCATAATCAATAAAATGTAATAAAAAAACTCAAACCAAACTGTTTTGCCACATTAAAAAAAATTTGCAAAATCAGATAGAGCTGAAGGTGTCTATATCCTATGGCCCAGGAAAGTTATTTCTAGATTAGGGAACACCTCACACATATACACAAACACCATGTCCTGGAAACAGCAGAGAAAAAATAATAAACTCATCACTAGGAGGAAGAAATGTAAATTCTGTGATGATATGTCAAATGTATAAATAAATCTTACAAACAATATTGAGTGAAAAAATGTAGGATATGTACAGTAAAATGACATTTTAAAGCTTAAAACATGCAAAATAATAGTAAGTATTATTATTTTGTTCAACTATTCAGTTCAACTATTTAGGTAGCATTGAACCCAAAGATACATATGTATGGGGGGGGGAGAGAGAGAAGGAGGGGGGGAGAGAGAGAGAGAGAGAGAGAGAGAGAGAGAGAGAGAGAGAGAGAGACTCTGATCGACTGCCTCCTGCATGTACCCTAACAAGGGACTGAATCTGCAAACCAGGCTTGAGCCTTGACCTGGAATCAAACCTGCAACCTTTTAGTGTACAGGATGATGGTCCACCCAACTGAGCCACCCAGCCAGCGTGGTAATGTGTAATTTTTTACACTACTGTTTATGCTACTGCTAAGTTAAATAATAATGTATTAAAAATGACCAAGCACTCTTATTACTTTATATGGGGTGGGGTAAACATAGGTTTATAGTTCTTAGTACATAAAATAGTTTATTCTTGTATTGTTATTTATTATTGTTACTTTCCATATGAATAACTGTAAACCTACTTTTGCCCTACCCTACAGTGCAAACTGTTATTTACTTAAAAAAACTTTAAAAAAAATTTTGTTACAGAGAGGGGAAGTGAGGGAGAAAGAGGGAGAGAAACATTGATCTGCGAGAGAAACATCAATTGGTTCTCTTGCACATTCCCAACTGAGGACCTAGCCCGCAACCAGGCATGTGCCCTGACTGGGAAGCGAACCAGCAACCTTTCAGTTCGCAGGCCAGCGCTCAGTCCACTAAGCCAGATCAGCCAGGGCTGAACTGTTATTTAGACAACCTTTAATGAACCAAACTTGCTCTCCCACCTCACATTTGCCCATATCTTACTCTGAAACAGGTGGTATGATGCTTTTACAAGCTGGGTAGTAGTGTAAGGACTACCGATGTTACAACTTCCCTACCCAAACAAAACAGAACAATGAACAAAATCCTTTAAATTCTGTGTAGAGAAGCGAGTGTTTCCAGTGGTAGGAAACACTCCGTAAATGGCTGATCCTGGCTCAGCCATTTTGTTACAGAGAGGGGAATGCTCAATGTTCTAATATGAAAACTTACGAGAAATTAGATGCTTGATTAATGAGGCTGCTGTAATCCTCTGGAAGGCCTATTAATTTGTTAGATTCTCTTGGATAGCTTAAAAAAACACACACATAAAACCAGTTAATATGATGTCATATCACAACAGTGACAGGATAATTCAATTTAGTCAAAACAAACAAAGGCAGACTGAATCTAAGTGATCGTACCACAGTGGTCCAAGAGCCACAGCAAAAGATTTAAAAATTCACATTTTAACACAGCGACTTGGGGTTCACATTTTTACTTGAAAAGCTCAGAATAAATGATCAGGACAGTAGACAGTACTTAGAATCTGCCCCATTTAAGTGAAAATGTGGTAGCTCTGGGAAGCAGGGGAGGGACAGAAAAGGATATTTATTCATCCCCAGGCTTCTACCAAAACAACCCGGTAATGGAGAGCCCAACCACAGAACCTAGGAGAGAGAAGACAGAAAACATGTGCTTATTAAAGGTGATCTTAAGGTACAAATGAGTTGGAGGAGAGAAGCAGAGGACAGATAAGTTAAAGATACCAGGCCAGGTTGATTCTGTGACAAGTTAATTCAAATAAAACTTAGATCCAAATTCAACTGGTGTTTGAAGCCCCACTCCCAGGGCTCACACCTGCCCTGCACAGGCCACATGGCTTGGCCTTTGCCTGCTTCCCCCAGGGCAGAGACGGGGTGACTGAAACCAAGAGGGAGCTACTTGGACTGCAGCTCTTATGGCAGAATCACTTGGGGAAAATCTGGTGGGGTGTAGGGGGACAGACATGCTAGGAGCCCATCTTTAGAGAAATTGGAATTGGTAGTAAGGCCCTGAGAATTTTTTAAAAAGTTTCCAAAGTTGTTCTAATAGGGCTGAATCATATTGGTGGTATTCAACCATGTTTGACTTAGAACAACTGCAATTTCATATGGTTCAACCTAATAAAATTGGGGTGTTATCATCTCTGGATTTGGAACAGATGGTTTATAAAATCCAAGAATACAATACACAATCTCCTTTAGCCCTCTGATTTTTATGGATAATGCATTCAGCATAACCAAGGAGATATTAATCAGTGAAATACATCTGTTATCACCTGGTAGTGCGTACGGTAGAATCAGAATAGAGCTAGTGTCAAAGGAATGAAAAACAAAACAAAACAAAACAAAAACGACTGGTCATCATTTGATAATTAATGAAGCTAAGTGACAGGTATGTGGAATCATGCTATTCTTTGACTTTTTGGATAGTTTAAATTTTTTCATAATAAAAGGAAAAAAATAAAGCTAAGAAAAACAAACAAAAAAAAATACCCACATTTTTAAAGATCAAACATTTCAAAATATAACAATTTTGTTATTTGCTTCCTCTGCCAAGAATAATACACTATATCTATGTTCCTAATTGTCATTCTGTTACAAACTCTTATGACCATGATACTAAGGAGGAAAAAACAAGAAGGCTCGATGGCCTATCTCTTGGAATTGCTGAAGGCCTGGGAGGTCAGTGTTGCAGGAATGCAGGAATATACAGCACTTACACCCTACGTCCTCCCTGGCCTCCCACTCCCACCGGTATTTGATAATCTTTAACTTACCTGATAGCATCTCTTTCACCTTCCAGATATCTCTTAACTTCAATGTTCTGACACCAACTTTAATGTAATTGGGAAAAAACAAAACAAAACGCTTTTTACTTTAAAGGGCTAGAATTTTTTCCTCTCTAAATCCAGTAAGAGGGAGAGGGAAAAAAAACTTCTTTGCTTAATATATTTAACTAATCAAATCAAAAGAAGCTTGGAGAAATACCATATTCTGTGTGCAACTTTTAAAATCACAAAAATATGTTCTGAGATTTTCTACACATGAGAATGCTAAATATATTAAAATTTGTGGCTACCTACACTACTACCTCACTAATTTGGACACTCTGGAAAAATCAATCTGAATTAATGAAAAGCTCTTATTATCTGGAGCTAGAACACTTATATTTTTAAAAGGTTTTTTTTTTTTTTTTAAATGTAGTAACAAGTATACATAACATAAAATTTGCCATTTTTAAGTGTATAGTTTTGTGGCATTAAGTGTACTGACACTGTTGGGCAACTACTACACCATCCATTTCTAGAACTTTTTCAGCTTTACAAACTCTACTTGTTCAATACTAACCCACTCTTTCCACCAGTCCCTGGCAATCACCATTCCATTTTCTGTCTCCATAAATTTGGCTACTCTAGGTTCCTCATGTAAGTAAAAACATACTATGTTTGTTCTTTTGTGACTGGCTTGTTTTACTGAGCATGTCTTCAAGGTTCATCCATGTTATGTCAGAATTTCCTTCTTTCTTAAGGCAGAATAATATACTCTACTGTATGGGTATACCCCATTTTATTTATCCATTCATCACAGATGTTGGGTTGTTTCTACCTTTTGGCTTTTGTGAATAATGCTGCTACGAACATGGATACATAAATATTCTTTTAATATTAATTTTTAATCTACTTTTAATTATTTTGCAATATATACATAGAAGTGGAATTTCTGGATCATATGGTAAGTCTATGTTTAACTTTTTGAGGAACCACCATACTATTTTCTAGAGCAAATCTGCTTATGTTATTCACTAGCTTAGCAAAATCATACCACAAAGATAAATCCTTAACTAAGAAGGCCTAATCATTACAGTTTAAATTACATGGTTTGAAGTCTTCCAGGCTTACTGAGAATTTTGCAATATATGGGATAAACTAAAGTTTGTTTTCATATAACTTCATTTAATATAATGAAGAAAAAGTGTATAATCATTACCTTTCAATCAGTAGTTTTGTTATCTCACTATTTTCTTGAAAAAGGGAAATGAGGTTGTTTGGTAGGGAAAGGTAGTTGCAGAGAAGTTCAAAATGCCTCGTTCCAGAAACTGCAAACAGAGAGGAAAAGAACAATGCATGTAACAATTAAGAGTAGAACCTGTATCAGAGTAAGCAACAGTAGAGCTTAAAAAAAAAGCATAAGAAAAGAGTTCAAATTTGCTAGGTACGTAACCTGTAGGAAGGTAAGATGGCACGTTACGGGAGCCACGGAAGATGACACAGTTCAGAGTGCAGTCAGGGGACTCCCCCATCAAACTGGTTACAATTTCTTAGAGTCTGTTTTAGCGTTTACAAAATGGTGTTCCTGCACGATCTACTTCGTAGGGTTCATTATGAACATTACATGACAAAAACAATATACGAGTGTTCTGGAGTATAAAGCAGTACAGAAACATAAGATGATTTCACCATGGGAGATATTTAAACATTTATTCTATCATCCTTGCAGATGATTAGGAAGTCTAAATTATTCTATATGGTGCCTGGGCAACTTAGCTGAATGGAGATGCCAGTCCACCAGCGTAGAGAACAGCATTACATGCCATTACATGCAGGCACCCCATGCCCTTTGCCTGGGCATGCTTACTGAGATACAACAAACTTTAATTCTACACTACTTTTATGAAATGAATCAAAATAGACCACAAGAAACAACTGTGAAATAGCAAATTAATTCCTACATTAAAATCAGATTTATGTGCAGTTATGGATATTCTGAATTTTAATACCACATGTTTCAAGTTAAAAATACTTGAGCCCTGACTGGTGCAGCTCAGTAGGTTGTGTTGTACTGCAGAGTGAAAGGTCGCTGGTTTCACTCCCCAAGGCACATGCCCGGGTTGTGGGTTTGGTTCCTAGTCGGGGCATGTTTAAGAGGCAACTGATCAATGTTTCTCTCTCACAACGGTGTTTCTCTCTCTTTTTTCCTCCCTCCCTTCCCCTCTCTCTAGAAAATAAATAAAATCATAAAAGAACCCACAATACTCTTCAAATTGTCAGTTTTCACTTTTTAAAAGCCCAAGAATCCAGTTTATGAGTAATATATAACCAAATATTTTAATACATGAAAGAGCAAAATTAGAACACTTTTGAACTTGTGAATGTACAAAAAGCATATTTACTTAGATCCAATAAAATCAGACTTAAAAAATGTGTATTTTATTCTACAACTGTGTACATCACCATAGTAAATGAACTTACGTGCTAAACTTTTAATCTGTTTTCATTTTTGTAAGTCACCTTAATTCTAAGCTGCTAGAGTGAAAGACTACATATATTTTCTACATTTTGAAAACAATTAGAAGTTACCTTGAATTTCAGGCGGTGCGGGAACTCCATTTAAGTAATGAAAAAACAAAGCAGAGCACCTCAGAAAAGGCATGATTCCAGCTCGGACGCTCCTCCAGAGATGCCAGCCAGAGGGTGTTTCTTTCAAGGCACTAAAAAGAGAAAAATGGTAAAAGAAAATTTTAATAAGTAAAGATCATTCTAGTTACAGCACAATGTGAAAAGAGACGACTATTACTTGAAATTGATGGTGTATAGGCTTAAAAGGAGTGGGTAGTCCTGATTATTATAGGATGTCAGGTATAAATGGTAATATAGCTTCCAATGCTGTTAATAAAATTTATAGCCCTGGTCTGGTGGCTCAGCTGGTTAGAGCATCGGCCCGTACACCAAAAGGCTGCAGGTTTGATTCCCAGTCGGGGTGCATATAGAAGGCAACTAATCAATGTTTTTCTCTCTCCTGTCCTCTCTATCTAAAAAAAAAATCAATTGAATAAAACAAAATAAAACATATCCTTGGGGAAAGATTAAAAAAATTTATAAAAGTAACAATATTTGGAAAGTAAAAAACGATCTACTATTCTAGAATCTTTATCAAGTATTATTCTGGCAAACTATTTTCATACTAATTTGTCTTACTTTGTTATAACTAACATATAAAATTTAAAATTAACATTTTTTTCAGAACATCATAAACCACAATTTTTATTGAAATTATAATATTCTGAAATATATCAATCATAACAATACCAAATTATTTCTATGCAAGCAAGCACTTAAGATTGCTTTAAATTCTTTGCTAATATAATATGAGAGTGTACATGTTTATATCTATAGGTTTTTCCTATATGTTGGATTATTTTGTTAGTGTGGGTTCTCAGAAATGGGGTAATTTAGTAAAAAATAAAGAATATAGTTTTTGACATATTATGAGAAAGCTAAATAAAACTGTTGTACCAAATCAAAATGACTCCAACAACCCTGTGAGGGCTCTAATATTTCATTGCATTCCTGCCAATCCTGCGTTCTGCCTTAAAAACAAATTATGTCAATTTAATTTATGTATTTTAATTCCTAATGAGAGAATATGTTTAGGAATAGCACTTTCCAAAGTAAATTCCATGTCTCCATGTGACAAATCCTGAGCAAAAAAGAAAGGTTCCATGGTTAAGTAAGTGTGGGAAGCTCTGCAAATTACTCCTCTCAGAGATTTGCAATTTCTGAGATTTTCCATTCATGTTAGTATAAAGCTCAGGAGTCTTGCAGATACACTCCCATCTTCTTTTTAAAAACATGTCAACAGAGAGCACTTTCCCTTATTTAACAAATAAACGCCTTTTTCATGCTATCACCTACTAATTTTGGGGGAGCTGCCTGTCATGTAAAGACTATGACCCCACCTTCCTGTACACTGGCGAAGTGTTTTATACAAAGCAAGAACTGCTAATTCTTCTTCACCAGCAGGAGTTTCTTGATCCATGCCATTTGCTTCTGAAAGAGAAGGAACTATTAGTACTCTGCATTTGTCTATTAAGTGGCTTGGTGACCATATCATTTAAGTACTCAAATATTCTTGTACACTCATATATAGTATGAAAATACTCCTACAAAACACAGGGGACTTTAAATCCTCAGGTGTGAGCACAGTGTCATCTCCGCCGCCATAAGGAGCCCACAGGCCTTGGGAGAAGCCAGTGTGCTGATTCAGGATGTCAGGCACTATGCTGTGAGCTAGATCAGCTAAATATACAGTCTGTGGCACTCATATATTACGAAACTTATAAAATCAAAATAATAATACACTGTGAAGGGATTTTAGTAGGAGAAAGGAATTTGTTTCAGAACTTGTCACATGAAGATAAACAGTAAAAACAAGTAGCCTAATTAATATTTATATATTATTCTCATTCAAGTACCGCTTCCTTTAATACTCTTTTTAAACTAAGAAAACTCAAGTACTTCCTTCAAGAAGCTGACAAAAGGAGTTACCTGTACACGAGGTAAGTAGGATCTGTATGATGTGTGCCATGGTAACCAGGTGGAAAACATGGAGGTCTCCAGTGCCAAGGCTGATCCCTGAAAAATCCTGACAATGCAATGCAGGGAGAGCAAGCACCAAGCCCACCTAGATACCAAATACAGAGAATCAGACAGCTTCCCGTTCCTTTCACACCTAAACACGTTGCCATTTTCTTGATATGACCCCCTTTGGAGCTCAGTCCCTCCCCTTAAGAATTCTGTTCTTAAACGGTACACACATTAGAAATTCCACTGGCATGGGCTAAATAAAACTATTTAAAAGCTAAGAGTCTTGATGGCACTACTGTTTCATTTATCCAATGATTCCCCTATATATATGACGGGGGACCGAAAAAACCCCTGGAACTTATTTTAAAAAACTGTGTATTTATTCTTACATGTTTAAACTCCATTTGATATAATACACCTATTGAGACTTTCTTCCTACAGCTCAAAACAGTTTTTTAACTCATCAACTTTGATGCCTTTTAGTGCTTTGCTGTTTTTTGTATCACTTGTTCCACAATGGCAGAATGTTTCCCTTTGAGGACTTTTTATCAGGGAAACAAAAAAAGCTGCTCTGGGAGAGCACAGGTGAGTAGGGAGGGTGGGGCACGGAGCGTGCCATTTTTGGTCAAAAACTGCTGAACGCTCAGCACAGTGTGGGGCAGATGCTCTGGTAAATCACCCATCATGAAACGGGCAAACACATTGCAAGAATCTTCCAAAAAACTTCACTGAAGCCTCTCACAACAACGCCGGCTGGCACACTGACACAGCCGGGCTCCTGGAGCACTCACCCAGCAGGGGAAGCCTGTGCTACAAGGGGCCCGCCCTCCAGGAGATCATTCTAGTTTTTTTAGATCCTCCTTCATAGATTATTGTTGTTAATAATAATAATAATAATAATAAAAAAACCCCCAACAGTTGAACAGTAGAAAAAGCCTGGATTTTGGACCCACAAATGTCTAGATGTGAACCCTTGCTTCTCTTATGAGGTTTTTAGACAAGTTAATACCTCTGAGCCCTCAGTTTTCCTGTTGGTAAACTAGAGATAATATATATTTGTTTTTAACACATCAATAGTAAGGATGTAAGGACTAAAGAATGCATGGGAAAGCATTCAGGTATAGAATAAAGGTTAGCTCTCCTGTTAGACTCCTGCTGCCTATATGATAGTGGTTTTCACAAGGACAATGGGAATAATCACATGGCTAACACTAGGGACACAGTGCTCTAAGCTCTTTCCATTGATCATCCCAGTAGGTTTTGAACACAATCAGCTTAAAGGTACAGAATCTGATGCCCAAAACGATTAAAGGGACAGCACTTGGGGTTGCTCCATGTGACACTATATTCAATGTCTTGAGTAAAGGGATCCATCCGAGGTAGGGCTGAGGTTCAATCAGTGGTATATCCCAGCACCAGACTGCACAGAAGATATAACTTATAGATCACACAAAGGGAATGTTGATTGCTAAGTAGTGTGACCACAGACAAGGCTGTATTGTCCAAAAGCACTGTATGGGTCAACCGCAGCCCTCACATTACCAGTGTTATTTTTACTTCTTTGTAGGTAAAAAGCACAAAGAGGTTAAAATTACTGACCTCAGCTCCAAAGCAAAATAGAGAGGATTAGACCCCCAGGTCAAGTCTCTCAACTAGATTCATTTCTTCTTTCTAAATTTAAACTGATTTTAGAAACAGGAGGGGTGGGGGAGCAAGAGAGAAACACTAATTTGTTCCACTCAGTTATGCATGCATTGGCTGATTCTTGTATGTGCCCTGACTAGGGACTGAACCTGCAACCTTGGTGTATCTGGACGATGCTCCAAACTACTGGGCTACCCAACCAGGGCTTCAGCTAGATTCTTTAACATTTTCTTTTTGAGTTTCCTCAGAAAGAATTATACTCAGAAACGGTAAGAGAAATAGATGATACTCTTCCTGTCTCTTCTACACTGTTCACCAAGTCTAAGATAAAGTTCTATAGTATGATAAAGAAAATGTAAAACACAAATTACAAGATACTCACCAATAAATGAAACATGTCAATATCTAATATGCATGGAAGGTCTCCATAATTGTCATCAGGCACCAACGCTAAATATTTAAAGAAAAAATATATTAGCACATTTCATATGCCAACATAAATATTAAATTTAAAATGTATATAACCTAGTTTATATTTATCTTTATGCAAGATATATATGAATTTGTAAGACAGAACTTGTGCATAAAACAAACTATTACCAACATTTTTCTCATAATGGAGAGAAGTTGCATGATTAAAGACAATATTACAGATGAAAAATTACCGTAATATATATGGTACATGTATTAATACTCACACGCAAAAAGTTTACAAAAGTGTCCTTGCACCACTGAAAGTAATGCCACTGTCCAATGTGCTGCAGCGAATCTAGTTAGTGACCTAAGACAGTCATCCTGAAATAAAGAGACCGACACAATTAGCAAAGAAGCCAGCCTAAGAAGCTCTATTTTTTGAGATATGCTAGTTCAATGCACAGCCACCTGAGGCAAAGCTGGATGCACAATGAAATCTCCCTAGGTGGTATGCAACTGAATCTATGACATCTTTAATGATGTATCTCTAATGTGGAATAGATGGAATGGGAAATGCTAATTCTATGTTGGATAAACCAAAGTGCTCTTGCCACCATGCTACTGATTCTCTGTAGAAAAGAGACACCTTTCCAGAAAGAGATCAAACAACAGAGGCTCCCAAGAATGTAATGCATTCTTTCTTTCAGTATTTCTTTATATTTATTCTATAAAAAGATACTCCAACATGTAAAACCAATTACAATCAAGTATAAACATGCACATGAAAAAAACAGCTGAGTAATACGTTGATGAGTTTTTTCTTCCTGCTTCATGCTCTATTTTCCAAATTTTTCTGTAATGTTGTTTGGTTCAATAGATATTGAGGACATACCACACAATAGCCTTGGTTCTGAAGATCTTAAAATGGAAACTTACACCCCTCCAAAGAGCTCACGGCCCTGGAGTCGGGAAGGGGAAGAAAAGGGAGATCGGGGCGGCCGAGGGAGGCGGCAGCACAGACGAGGGATGCCTTACTCACGGAACATGGCTCCGAGATTTCCAAGGGAAGGCAAAGCTTGAAGAGCATCTTAAAAGAGGAGGTGTCTACTCAGTGTACTTTAGCAGTAACAAAAGGCCTGAAAACGAGCATGTGGGGACTAGCAATGGCTCTCTAAGTCTGGGCCATGGATGTGGGGATTGCCAGGTGATGATGGAGAAAGAGGCTAAGAAGTTTAAGAGGTATGACTGGGGTGACTTCAGGAGTAATTCCTCTGATAATGTATCAGAAAAGAGTGAGATTCATAGGCAAGAAATGACACGGGACTGAACCAAACAAGTGGAAGCAGAAATGGAAGGAATGGAGACAAATGTGCAGGGCAGAAATTCATTAAATTCTGGGACCAACTGGATATGAACATTCATACCAAATGATGAATCCAACAGGACTTCTGAGTTTCTATCCCGGTCACCTGGATGGACAGTGATGACATTAACATTGACTAAGGCAATACATGAAGAAAAATGACTTGGATTGTTCAATGTGAGGTGCCTTTAGAAGATCCAGGTGAAAAAAATGAAGCAGGCAATGAGATAATAGTTTTGGTTTGGGAATTATCTGGATATAATTGAAACCAGAGACATAGATGGGGTTACCAGGGAAGTATATCAAGACAGCTGAGGGTCATGGGCCAAACTCGGGGGATTTAAAACATTTACAGGATGGAGGGGGGTGGGTGGCAAACTGAGAAGAAGTTGTCAGAGAGGTACGGAGGAAACCAGAAATGTCACAGAAATCAAGAGAGAAAATCAATTTCAGAAGGAAGTAGTTAACGAAATTAAGTAAACTGAAATGTCAAATAAGGGCTAAAAATGCCCACCCGTAAAGATAAGGAGGAAATCATCAGGTGAGCTTGATAGCTGCTGTTCCAAAGGGTGAAAATTGCAGGGAGTTGAAAAGTTGAAGGATTAGTTTTAACAAGAAATTGGAGCCAGAGTGTACACTATTGTTTAAGTAAGTTTTACTGCATATAAAATTTCTCTCTCTCAATATGAAATAAAGTTAAAAACTAAAGTTGTTATTTCTTTTATCAGTACTTAGGCCTTTTTTACTGCATGGTGAAATAAAATGCTTTAAAATGGCTTGGTCATCCAAGGAATGCCCAGGGTCACAGAAAGAAGGAAGAGAACACTGGGGGCAAGAGCAAGAGGAGGATAATGGAGCGCAGCTGTCCACCAGAGCCGGGCCGGGAGGGCGGGGGGCGGTTGGGGAAGGGATACCGAGGGAGAGGGGACGCATTTCAGATAACAAGTGGAAGGGGAAGCCACCTTAACCAATGTCCCTCATCTTCCAATGCGAGAGAGAAAGGTACGTGGAGATGTACATTACGTTTGAAGAGTGGGAGTCAGGAAAATAGAAGTTTGTTCCTAAGTTGTATGAGTTCCTAATATAGTATTATTTTGGATATGAATCTCTTATCAGATGTTACCATTTCTTTCTTCAATTCATTAGGCTGTTTTTAGTTTTGTTGGTAGTTTCCTTTTTTGTGCAAAAACTTTTTAGTTTGATGTAGTTCCAATTTATGTTTTTCTTTTGTTGCCCTTGTCCCAAGGAGACATACCCAAAAAGATATCGCTAAGAGCCATGTCAAAGAGTTTACTGCCGATGTTTTCTTCCAGAAGTTTTATGGTTTTAGGTCAGGCAAATGTTTTACCATGCTTCACTTTATTGTACTTTGTACAATAACAAATTAAAGCTTTGTGGTAACCTTGTACCAATCAAGTTTATTGGCAACAAGTTTTCCCTACAGCATTTGCTCACTTTGTATCTCTGTCACATTTTGGTAATGCTCGCGATATTTCAAATTTTTTCATTATTATGTTTGTTATGGTGATCTGTGATCAGCAATCTTTGATGTTGCTATTGTAATTGTTTTGGTGTGTTATGAACCATGTCCACATAAGAGAGCAAACTTAATTTTAAATATTGCGTATGACCTGACTGCTCTGCTGACCAGACATTCTCTTATCTCTCCCTTCTCCTTAGGCCTCCACATTCCTTGAGATACAATAGTATTGAAATTAGGCCAATTAATAACCCTACAATGCATCTAAGTATTCAAGTAAAAGAGTCAACTGATGTGGCAAATTTCACTGCTGTTTTATTTTAAGAAATTGCCACAGCCACCCCGCCTTCAGCAACCCCCACTCATCAGACAGCAGCACCGGCAAGACTGAGTCAAGAGTCTCTACAGGCCAAAAGATTATGACTCGCTGAATGCTAAGATGATGGTTGCCATTTTTTAGCAGTAAGTATTTTTTAATTAAAGTATGTAAACTTTTTTAGACATAATCCTAAAGTACACTTAATAGATTATAATATAGTGTAAACATAACTTTTGTGTGCCCTGGGAAACAAAAAAAAAACCTCAATGTGACTTGCTTTAATGAAATGTGTGCTTTACTGTGATGGTCTGGAATAGAACCCGCAATGTCGCTGAGGTAGGCCTGTTGTGGTTTTTGTTCCCTGGATAGGCTCTTACATCAGCGGTTCTCAATCCTGGTTCCTGGGAAGCTTTAAAAAAATATTAATGCCTGGGGGTCCATCTCCAGCGACTCTGGTTTAACTGGCCTGTGGTAGAGACTAGGCAATTTTTTTTTTAAGAATTTTTTTTTTATTTGAATCCAACTGACGACTACATACAGTTGAGAGCAAGGTATCAAATGCTCCCCAAGATTAGGCATTTTTAAAAGTTCCCCAGGTGATTCTACATGAATCAAATTACATGAGCTTACTCTTAAGGGCAATTTCATGAGGGTAAGCTTAAATATAGGTAGATACGCTGCCTCTATGTGACACAAGCTGCACAGTAAAAATTAGCAAGCTTTGACAGTGTATTCCCCTTCCTCATTTTTTTTAGGCATTAAATGTACTGTTTTTGACATTAATTTGTAGTTAATTTAAATACTGCTTTTGAAAGGTAGTCAAATGTAGTAAAGGGTGTGTTCTGTTTTATATTTCCAATTTTAGATTTAAAAATTCAAGAATAAGCACTGTTTTTAGTTATTTTCCCTTTTCATGTGTTTAACTTAAGAGTTCTAGGTGAAAAGACCTGAAATCTATTTTTTTAAAAAAGAAAAATGAAACCACAAACATTATTTCTTCAATGTAATTACAGAAACAGAGTTTTACCATGAAACGAGTAAAAAGCTATGCTTAAATAACCAATTCAGGCTTTTAATATGAAAAGAAAAGGCAGAACCACTGAATTTCCATTCTACCATTCTGTGAATTGAGTAAACCGATAACTTACCAGTCTGCAAGGCAAAGGACCAAATAATGGTTTATCTTCATCACTTAAAATTCTTTCTGCAGATTAAAAATGATTAAGATAATAAATTTTATGTTTGTATATTTTATCACAATCTCAAAAAATAGTAAAAAAATTCTTTTTGGCAGAAAGCACAGTATTGTCAGGTTTTGAAATCTTTAAGTCATTACACAGGAATTAACTTTGGATAAAAAGTAAAAATGAAAACACCTTCCCTCAACTGACAAGAAGCTAAAACCATGACCAAAATGAGTTCTCTGCTGCTCTGGTTAATTAGTAAACTGTCAATCTAATGTTTTGTGAGTACACTACATTTCCTAAGTCAAAGGCTTTACATTATTTCTTCATATTGTTGCCCACTTCAAACATGTCACTTAAATACAGGCTTCTCCCCATCACTTGTGTCAGTGTATGCTTGAGACTTAAAGAGAAACCCAACTTTAAATCTCTTACCTATGCTTTGGATGGTGTATGCACAACTACCCCAACACATTAGGGGCACACGGGGATCCTCTTCATTGGGATGAACCTTTAGTCCCACCTTGTAAATAGCAGTTCCAAATGTTGTTAGCATTTCCTTTATGCTGTCAGAATATGGGTTCCTGAAGTAAACACGTATAGGATTAGCTCAAAACAATGTGCTCACAGCAATCAAATGCTGCAGATTCCTAACATCTATTTGTTGCTATGTTGGAACTAAACCACTTAAACTATCTAAAGACAGCTGTATGAAAATCAGGAAAAAGGTGAATAGGCAATCCAGCCAAATGAGAGGAACACAGCCAGGGGGAGCCTCAGGGCGACAGCTGTGTCCAGCCTTTATTAGTGCGGGAGTATAGGGGCTGTGGAAGGAGGGCTAAGCAAGCATCTGAAAGATCTATTGTAGTGTTCAGGGGGAATAAACTACCATACACAGAAAATCAACCACATGAAAAAAAGCAAGGTAATTATTAACCACAGGAAAGACAAACCTGTAAAAGAAAAATATAATTATAACACATAACTTCTATCAGTATAAACAATTATAATGTAAAAACTGCCAACTGATTTAACCAAAAATTGTGAAAGAACTCTACTGGGAGACTGGAAAGGAGCAGTGGATAGGGTAGAGGTAAGAGCTTAATGCTAAATCGTTGGCCAGTCAACAGAAACTACTGTTGTGAAATGATGAATCAAGAGAGAAGTTAAGTGTTTTGACTAGAAATATGGCAGTAAATAGAAGAAACAAAATGACAGGACTGGGGATAGGGAGGGGAAATGGGAGGCATAGGACTGATGTTTTTTCTATTTGGATCTTTCAGTGCTATTTTTATTGAGTTACTTAGTACATGCCAGGAATAACTTCCAGGTGGCTTTACATGTATTGTGTCACTTTATCCTCATAATACTTTATAGATGAGGAACCTGAAGCACAGAAAGGTCAAGCAATTTGCACAGCTGCAGTGCTAATAAGCAGTGCTACTGGGAACCAACCAAACAATCTAGGTCTAAAATCTAAGCTATATTTTATAATTAATTGGCTCTGAGGTAAAAGAGGGTAAAAGTACTCTGGTTTTGATCTTGGGTTACTAAGAAGTTGGGAGGCCATAAATACGGAGATCAGAAGGAAAGCATAGGACTCGGTAGGGGAGCTGGGAGGCTTGGATTTACACATACTGATGAGGTGTTGTCAAGGCCAGCCAGATAAAAGGGTATAGTGGGGAGTCAGCAAGGCCGACTAGAAAAGGTTGTTGACAACTAAACATGACACATGGTCCTTATGTTCCGATCAATATACCTGAAACAAACATGATTGTGTAATGCTTAAACCTGACGATTCAAGATCAATGTCTTAAAATATTTTGCTCCCTGGCTTACAAATCATATTCCTACTAACTGCTAACTTAGTCTTTCATTTCAGGTGGGCCAAATGTCAAAGGAATAAAACAATATACTCACTTAGGATGAAAGTCAGGCCTAAATCCTTCAGGGAGCTGTAATTTATCCATATTTTTGGAGTTCTTTGAAGAAGCAATGTCTATGAAAACAAGTATTTCATATTATTACTCATCAGTGCACATATTGCTGTGAATTTCCACCATACATTTCATTTTAAATATAGGCCGAAGAAATGAAAAACAGGAAAAATTTCCATTAATAAAAAAACATGCATTCAAAGCATGAGAAATACTATTGCTCTGACTGATCAAGAAACCTTCTTTAACCACTAGAACACAGCTAGGCAAAGTAGGAAAATGAAGAGTATGCTATTTTGTTTTTATACAAAACAACAATATAAATTCCGCTCAGACTGCTTTCCCTGAGGTCATAATTGCAATGCATGTTGTGAAACTCGGGAAGCCTTTGGTAATGCCAATAATAATGTAAGTTAGGCCACTGAGAACCAAAGCTAGCTCTGCAATAGTCAGTTCCGTTCCCCCACTCCTAGAAGCTCTCTGATACCATGTGGGTTGAGAAGTATTTATTAAAAATTGCACATGAGCCTCTGTGTTTTCAAGGAGTATTAAGTAACACAGTCGCCCTGGCCACTGTGGCTCAGTTGGTTGGAATGTTGTCCTGTAAACTGAAAGGTTGCGGGTTCAACTCTGTCAGGGCTTAGGTTCCAAGTTCGGTCCTTGGTCAGGGGGCATGTGAGAGACAACCAATCAATGTTTTTCTTTCACATTGATATTTCTTTCTGTCCCTCTTTCCAAAATCAATAAGCATGTCTTTGGATGAGGATGGGGGGCGGGGGAAGAAAAAAAGAAAAAAAAAGGAAGTAACACAATCAGGTCAAATTTAGTTCATTAAGAAAAAAAAAAAAAAATTAGCCCTGACCAGTGTGACCTGGTTGGGTGTTGTGCTGCAAAGCAAAAGGTCGCCAATTCAATTCCTGGTCAGGGCACATGCCTAGACTGCAAGTTTAGTGCCCAGTTAGGGTGTATGAGAGGCAACCGATTGATGATTCTCTCCCTTCCTCCCTCCCTCCCTCTTGCTCTAAAAATAAATTAATCCTTCGCCCAAACTTAAAAAAAAAAAGCAAAGAAAATTAGAATAAGTCAAATTTTAAAATAAGTTTCTTTTTACAGTATTCTTAATTCTTTCTGGAACTAAATTTCTCAACAATTTCAGATGTTAGGGAAAAATGAAAGCAGATTATCAGAACTTACTAGGAATACTTTCTTCTTTCCTAAGAATCTGTAATGCTTTTATTTGCTGAGATACGGTTCTAATCCACTGAGTAAGATTTGGTTGATCTGAAAAATTTAACCTGCTAGAAAAAATTATAGAGAGTATTTAGTAATCTGTTGTTGCTTAGTTTAAGATACAAAAAGACTCCTTAAATGATCACGGGCATAATATCTTTAAACGTATTTTTGCCAATCGAAATTAAAATATCTTATTTTTACTATAATGTTAATAACATTACTTGTCAAAATTTTCACTTTTTTCAATACTAGAATTTGCTATTATTTCTTAAATATCACAGTCACCACACCACCACTATTTATTGAGTGTTTAATATGTGACAAGCACTTCGTAAAGCATTTAACAATCTTAGATTGAATCCTTAAAATATTAATATGAAACAAGTTATATTATTGTTCCCATTTTATAGATGAGGAAACTGAGGTTTAGAGCTACGTAACATGACTAGGCCATATAAAGAACAGATGTGGCATTCAAACCCAAACTCCAAAATCAGACTCCACAGCCTGTGTCCTTCATGACCATGTCATAATTGGCTCTTATGGGGGAACAGAAAATTTAAATCACAGAAGTGAGGGGAAATCCAACAAAGCTATTTTTTTCCTCCTTCTACACAGTGAATCCATAATTTAACAATAATTAATCAGTTCAAATACAAATAAATCAGTACTATGATATTTTTTGGTGATTGAAAAGCATGAGCTTATACTCCAATCTAACAGAATTTAAAGAAGACTTTGTGGTAGCATAAATTAATAAGACACCATAGTTTCTTATATACTCCTATACTCAAAGAGAAAAAAAACTGACCTTGCTTTTTATTTTTTTTTTAGAGACGGAAAGGGAGGGAGAAAGAGAGGGAGAGAAACATTGATGTGTGGTTTCTTCTCTCACGCCCTCTGCTGGGGATCTGGCTCACATCCCAGGCATGTGCCCAGACTAGGAATCGAACTAGCGACTCTGGTTCACAAGCCAGCACTCAATCCACTGAGCCACACCAGCCAGGTGACCTTGCTTTGAACTGAGTCCAAATAGCACAGAAATAGATGATTCAATATTTATAAAACTTGAATTAGTATTTGTGCATATAAGATAGACCATAATTCTAAACTGAGAAATGTAAATCAGATTTAAGTAGCAGACAATATCAAATTCATATTTTGGAATAAGTTACACCTATGAACTAGAAGCACCCTAAAAATTGTGAAATGACAGCCCTGGCTGGTACGGCTTAGTTGGTTGGAGCGTTGTCCCATGACTGAAAGATTTAGGGTGTGATCCCTGGTCAGGGATCATACCTGGGTCGTGGGTCCAACCCCTGGTGGGCCCAGTGCGTACAGCAGGCAAGCAATCAATGATTCTCTCTCACATCGATATTTTCCTCTCTCCCACCCTCTCTCGCTCTCTAAAAGCCATGAAAAAATGTCCTCAGGTGAGGACTAAAAAGAATTATGAAATGACAAAAGTTTTCCATTTAAAATACACCAACAGATTCTCATTGTTTTGGCTCAATTCCTGAAGCTATTATCAGCCAGTAATTTGCAGATGATTATATTTAATTGTTGGAATATTCAATAAAGTCAGTTTGAGCTGTCGTTCTCTCCCCTATCAATTTACTGAGTATCTCTTGAAAAGTACGAGGGAGATACATAAAGCAGAATCCTAGAAATAAAGACAGTTCTCATAAATACGCAAGAATTCTACATCTTCAATAGTGTTTATGGGTAAACAAGAAACTACTCATTTTTGGCCTATTCTTTCAAAAAACCAAAATAATATTTTACAGATCTGCTAGAAGAAATAACTAAACAAAAAGTTTGGAAAGTATGTGGAAAACATTGTACAGTTGCCTAGAGTGCCCAACCCCCCTGCCACCCAGTTTATTATTTCATTATCTTCAAAGGCAGTTAACTCTGGCTTTGATATAAAGGTTTTATGAGCCAAAACTTACTTGTTAAAAACATTTCTTGGGGGAAGCAGCAGAGGAATAACAGTGTTACTCAAGCACTCACAAAGAGGACAAAGGAATTCTCCATTTTCTACATCATAGCTTGTATGTAAGCGTAATCTCTGTTGCCTTCGCTGTTCTTTAGCTTGAACGGAATCAAAATACCTTTACAATTAGAAAACATGAGGTATCAAAAACAACGGTAATTTTTTTCAGTGAGAGCCTTCAACATAATTTAAATAATTTGTTTTCACAAACAATCCAAAAATTAAAATCTTAAAATGAACTGAGTATTTTTAATACTGGTACTTTAATTATTGAGTTGCTTTAAATATCAAAATGGGTTCCAGAGTTCTTAAACAGGAAAGTCAAAAAAAGACTGCTTTGCAAAGAAGCATTCACAAAGCAGCAAATTTCTTGGTCCTGGTGCTATCTGGTCACTTTACCAAGGTTGGTGGCTGCTTGCCAGAAGAAGTTCATGATAGTTTAATAAGCACAGCGCTAGAGTAACAGCATTGGTTTGTTGGCTAGAAAGTACCAAAGGAGAACAAGTCTGAGGTTATCCCAACTCCAACTTAGCCCAGAGAATCATGACAATCTCAGGAAGTAACAAGGCAAGTTATGAACAGCTTCAGAATCAGGGGTTGTTCACCTTCGAAAGATACTATTGCTCTTCTAGGGTTTACCCCACTGTAAAATCTTTTTCTTCATCCAATTAGTTAGCTGATACAGATGCCCACATTAAAAAATATATTTGAGCCCTGGCTGGTGTGGCTCAGTGGACTGAGCGCCAGCCTGTGAACCAAAGGGTCTCTGGTTCAATCCCCAGTCAGGGCACATGCCTGGGTTGCAGGCCAGGTCCCCAGTAGGGGGTGTGTGGGAGGCAACCACACATTGATATTTCTCTCCCTCTCTTTCTCCCTCCCTTCCCCTCTCTCTAAAAATAAATAAAATCTAAAAAAAAGATATATGTGTGTGTGTGTGTGTGCATGCGTGCGCACACACACACACGCACACACACACACTTGATATACTATGAAATTTCTACCATCCCTTCACCTGTATGACAAAGCAAATCAATTTTCATTGTTATTTATTAGGAAATGAAATGGAGTTTTTCTTAACATCTTTAGTTCTTTCTCCCTCTTTCTAGAATGGAGTTTCCTTTACAAAAAAATTCAATTTTGAGCCTTGGAATAAGCTTCTCTTGACTAATATTAAAAATACATTACCTTTGCCAACAATGGGCATGCATAATGTGTCCACAGCTACCAGTGTGTGTTCCACAAGACAGATCAGGGTGCATGAATAGTGGATCATATTTTTCTGTATTACAAAACAAACAAAAACCAAGCATTTCATTTTCCCATAACCAGTATAGAACTTTAAATTGTGAAATCCTTGATGGGTGATGACTTGTAAACTTGAAATGAAATGCTAGTTTATTTCTTTCCTTTGAGATATCAATAATTTATGCAAGATTCTGGATTATTTAGAAAACCGGACCCTTTAACTTTCACCACCCTGAGCAAATAAAACATCCCTGAACTGTTAACTAAAATTGGAATTCTCTAGTTAAGTACATCAAATCTTTTAACATTTCACACTTTCAGGGCACTGAGGGATCCCATTCCCTCCAAAAGCTCTCGGCTCAGCAAAGGGGATATCCTTCAAGGGGCTGCCTTTAATACCTTGAGGGCAGCTCCCTAGACGAGTTTCTGCCTAATGACACCCTTATAGAGAACAACCACAATCACTGTACCAGAGTCAGAGCGGCAACAAAATATCCCGGGCAGCCTCCCAGACCAGAGGTGGGGAAAAGGGCAAATCAGTTTCTGCTCTGGTGCCAACTTTTTATATTCAAGGGAGATGAAAAATGAAGACAACCATAAAATGGGTACCTGGTTTCTTTTGGAATTTTTTGAGTTCTCGGTATAAATTAGTATAATCTTAGAAATTCCAAAACATTCTAGAAAGAATTACTCAAGTTTTAATTATATAACAGTGAAAATGTCACAGCATAAAGAAAACCTACCTACAGCCAGAGGAAGTTTTTTGTTCATGAAATAACAAAGTAAATAAACTTGGTGACTCTTTGACTTGGAATGAAATTATTAATCGCCTAGTTCAAATGACCATTTTTAAAGATGAAAAGAGACCAATCTTTCCTAACTAGGTGCTTCAGAGTCACACTGTGCACTTTAGTTACAGAGAAAAAGGAAATTTTATCAGTGGGTTTTCATACCTCCTTTCAATTCTACAATGTGAAAGGCACTTGCTAAAATAAGTGCTTGGGAAATTCCAAAGACAGTTCCTACGCTCAAGAAGTTTACTGGTATCGTTGAGGCATATGCACGTATAAACAGCTCTAAGAGTAGAGACATAAGTGTCTGTGGTGGACACAATCATGCGCAGCCGAGATGCCCCTGCAGGAATGAAGGGCTTGCTCCCTCCATAGTTGGAAGGCACTCAACTGTCATTGCTCTTTAAGGGATGACTGCTTTGCTCAAGGTCACACCTCTTTCCAGAGGTCTCCCACAACCTGTCACTGATCAGTCTCCAGGTGCAAAGACCCAGCCCTCTTGTCCCAACTCAGGATGCCTCTAAAGGTCCATCCAACTATAAAGCTCCCATGGGACCAGCGGAGAGCTTTCGGGGACTGCTTAATGTCTCCCTCTCCCAAACCTGTTTCCTCCTCCCCCATTCCACAGATGTTGATGCGAAGGTTCTCTCTAATAAGTATCCCACATGGTAATCTCTGTCTCAAGAATCTGCTTTCTGGGGAAGCCCATCTGAAATATTATCACTACTCTAAGTGAGAATCTGGCTCGGGGCTGCTTCTCACATAAGTAACTCACACAACTGTTCTCAGCAGAGGCGATACCATGGATCTATCCATGAGACAAAATGATGACTGTTATTTTAGTGATCAACTAATTTACAAGTGTGTTGAAGAATGGGAAAGGTTAAGTACCAAAGCACGTTAATGTTATATCACAAAGAAGAGCTTTCCTTTGAAACCCTGCTATTTACCCGCTGTCAAAGTAGGGAATTTCTGCCCAAGTTACTTGCCTAACATACCACCAAGTCTACGGAGGCACTGTTGGAGTAATGAAATTTCTGTACATCACCACCCCACACTAAGTGGCAGTCATTATTAAAAGGAGAAGATAGCAAGCTATGACTCACCTGGATCCTGAATGACTTTATTTCTGTTTTTTGATAATACAGTTGACCTTTGAACAAATGCTGCTAGGACCATTGCCTTGCTTTCCACCTTTACCTCTTGCTCTTCTTGACACAATATACAGGTAACAAATTGTCTCTGTTTAGGGACTTGAGTTTGTGCTGGACCCAAAGCCATAAGTGTCACATCTGAAACCATAGGGCTGTAATGAAAGGTTATTGAGTATAAATAACGAGCCGAAGAAGTTTCTATATAATCATAAAATAGCAGTTGCCAGGTATGCACATATTAAATACATGTGGTTTTGATGACTTAAATTGACAGAAGTCTTTCATATGTATCAAACCATCTCCTTTAATCCTCAAAGCAACCCAGTATGCAACAGAGAAGCCATCCACTCAGTTAACTGAGCCCAGTGTACTCATTCTTTTATGAATGTCAAGGGTCTTCTGCATAACATTTTAAGCACACACATTAGTTATCTACAGTCAGAATTGTACTCTTAAATATATACTAAAAAAACTTAGATTTCTAAGATTAGTTCCTCTAACTGGAGGTCACAAAATTTATCTATCCATCTTCTAAATTACTTTTGGATTCAAAATGAATTATAAGGTAAAAAACCAAATTCTTCCCCACTTGAGAATCAATGGTCAAGAAATTAAAAATTTTTATTTAAAAATTTTTTACCTATTATCAAGAACAGCAGAGTTAGAGGCATCGAGTCCTAATGTCTGTTGGAAGAGTTCTTTGTTTTCATCAATAAAGTGCCGCTGCATCTCGGACATCTGGGCCATGATCTTTTCTCTGCGCAGCCTGGCAATCTCGGCTTTTCTCTTCCTCTCAGCTTTGTCTTTGTCTCTTGAACTCTGAAATTACGTCGCATTTAATTAGACCATTAAATGCTAAATGCCCATTTCCCCCCCAAAGTAGAAATATCTTTATTGTAAATACTAATTAAAAACTATCCTACAATCTCACTTTTCAAAACAAGAGAAAAGGTTTTTCAATCAACCTAACTTGTTTAAAAAGGAAAAGGCAGATCAAAAAAATTGCTACAATAAAGATAAATAGAGACACATTTCCTGGAATTTACATTTTAATGAAACATCAACTATCAACTTATTGCAGCTAATTTTAAATAGTCAACTTGTTATAGTTTTTTGGTGTTACCACACTCTACTTCTTATACTATACCTCTTCTGTTATGGTTCCTTCCGCCTCGGCCACAGGACTGGTGGATGAACTCTCCCTCATTTTCTTAATAGCATTAAAAGTCTATGGAAAAAGCACCAGTTATTGCGAAGCTATGAAACATTATGAAAATTCAAAGATAAATATTTAATGTTTCTCACAAAAAGCAAGAGAGATTCAGGAAATTTTACCTTTAATATCCACCTAATCATATCTTTGTGGACTTCTAGGTAGGGAGCGTTCTGCAATGTTTCCAGCATTGCTAATATGCTAGGAGAGTTGTTTGGTGCTTCACCAGGCTCTAAGGCAGAAAAAATAAAAGGCACGTTAATATCAGCTTACACTTTGTAGTACTTATGACTACACACAAGGTGATAAAGTTGCTTATAACATCATTTGCCTATTATTTAATTACAGCTCTACTTATTAAGAGATTTTCAGTACTTCTTGAGAACCTGACATATTTGTACTTCGCAAACAAGTTAACAATTAGAATGCTTTAATCTTTTGAAACTGACATCTTCTACCAAATGATTATTTTAACAGTCTCTAGCAAAATTAAGTAAAAACCCAGCAGAAGTCTACCTGAGATTTTACAAGTCTAAGAAAATGAATTAGGATTACAGGGGTGCATTTGTGTTTAAATATACCTATTTACTTTGACCTTTTCTTCAGTAACACCTAAATTAAAATAAATCCTTATGAATTATTTCTTTATTTGAGGAAGACATAAAAGTCAAGTCCATATTTTCAAGAGTACATTTAATTCAACATTAGCTAATTTAGTTTTACAGTAAGAAATGTCCGATTACTGATACACACACACACACACACACACACACACACAGATATACAGATAGATATAATTTTTTTTAAAGATTTTATTTATTTTTAGAGAGAGAGGGAAGGGAGAGAGAAAGAGGGAGAGATGCATCAATGTGTGAGGGAAATATCAATCGGTTGCCTCTCTTACACCCCTAAAACTTGGGACCTCGCCTGCAACCTAGACATGTGTCCTGACTGGGAATTGAACCAGTGACCTTTTGGTTTGTAGGCTGGCACTTAATCCACTGAGCCACACCAGCCATGGCACAAATTTTCTTATTTTCAATATGTTTTTATAAGATAACATCGACAATTTAGAATGAAATCTTGATAGCATACTTTGTGTTTTAAAAAGGCGTTATCTTAAGAGAAATGTACGTACTATACTGATTTAATTTTTCTGTTTATGAATTAAAATTCACACATTTTAATTTAGAGGAGAGAGGAAGGGAGATAAACATTGATGAGAGAGAGAAACATCGATTGGTTGCTGCCGGGGACAACTTTGTGTGGGAACTGTAGCCCTGTGCGAGCTGGGCCGTGACAAGGGCCTGTAAGCCTCAACTAGAAAACTAGGAGTGCGGGAGGCAGACAAGACCTGATACTGACACGAGGGTACCCTGGGAGATCTGGCTTAGAGGATGCAATGTAATTACAGAAGCTTGCTCTGTTTTGCACTGCCCTGATAGGGAAAGACCAGGTGTTTGACTTCATAGCAGGGAGAAACTTCCTGAGCTCCATCTGCTGCCCACATGTCTGACAGACCCCGACCTAAATATCTATAGCCTTTTGATATAGACTGATTAAGTATTGCATGCACGCTGTATACCACTGTGCATATTGTTCTCAATAAAAGCCACTTCAGAGAAAGGCTCGGGTCATTCTCCACTCGAGAGGATTGCCACCCCCTTCTCCTGACAGTCAAATTGTGTCTGGTACAATTTATTTCTTCATCCACGGGGACTGGGAAGACTCTGCGGGACAGAGTCTCCCTCGGGTTGTCCATCGTACATGCCTGAACTGGGGACTGAATGCACGACCGAGATATGTGCCCTGACTGGGAATGGAACCCACAACCTTTCAGTTATGGGATGATGCTCCAACAAACCAAACCACCCAGGCAAGGCAGGCCGTAAGTTTTTTTATAAAAACATATCAGGATCTGATATTGTACCTTTAATATAGAGATGAATATATACGGCCTCAGAAATATGGATTCAATATTATCTAGTTAGAACCTATACGATCAAATAAAGGAGGCTATATTGCATATTTGAGTTAGTTTAATAAGAAGTGTACATACTTGATATCTTCTGAGTGAAGGTAAATGTTACTACATGCTCTTCCATGACATTCTCCAAATGCTGTTTTTCTTCTTGTAGTGCCATTCCAATTAAATGTAACACCTCAAATACAAATATATTTTGTAACTTTTAGTAAAACACAAATCAAGTATACATTTTTATCAGAAATAACAAAGAATTATTGAAAAAAGATAAATCAAATAAAGACTAAGAGCAATGAAAAACAATTCTAAGTATTAATTTTTATTAAATTCAAATTTCATGATTCATTTTGTAATAAAGCAAGGAAGCAATTTCTATTTTAGCTAGGAAGAAAATTCAATTGCAAATTCTTAGGGTAAGTTAGAAGTATTACTAGATGTGACCAGCAATTCAAATAATATATAATTTTCAGTTTTATTCTTTCCCTACACTAGTCTTAAATCTTCTAAGACTCAATGGCCAAATAATTAGAGCTGCAAACATTGATGATGCAATTATCTAGTCTACAATACTACCTAGTTTAATTTCTGTCTCTATGGACAAAAAATATTAATCACCTCAGAAAAAGACATACTTTTATCTCTAATGTCATATAATTTATAAAGATGTTCATAGTTCTTCAGTATATCTCAAAAATTCCTTACCAGACCCCTAAGAAACCCTACAATTAAACTGAGTCTATCTGCATTTTTATTGCTCTTATCCTATTATACAATTTTTGAAGGACATATATGTGTGTGGTGTCTCTGTATCTTTCCTTATACACAGGGCTATTGCAGTTGTTAGATGTCAAAAAACTGGGTTAGCCTGAATGTCAGACAGCGAACTTCATTTTAGGACCAATCAATGAAAGGCAGATTAGCCAACGGGACCAAGATAACACCAACCATGTAGTATTAAAAAAACGTGGTCAGGCTTGTATTTTATTGTCAGACATAAAAGCAGAAACAATATACTATATTTCAGATTCAGGCAATACTCCATTTGTCCTAAGATTTCTTGGTATAGATACTGACAAAAGTATCCTGGCTTTTATTATAAAACATAGAAACGATGAATGTCTTCACACCTACCCTTTGCAGCATGGACTCAGACCAGGCATATCCATTATGTTCCACAGCCCACTGCAGTATTGTTCTCATGATGCACAACATGACGTCTGACTGCAAAATGTTAACCAGGCTTGCAAAGAGAGGGCAAAATGGAGGCAAAATTGGAGGTGGAAGTGCTGAAAATAAAGTCATTATTGGTTTCTTTTGTAGAGTATGTTTAAAAAATTATCTCTTTATTAGACACTTTTGACAGTCTTTACCCTAAGAATATTCATTAACATACATCTTAAAGCTGTTTTCACTTTCTTAAGGTCAGTCAAATGCATAAAGACAGCTTCATAAATAGCAGTAGTACAAAGGAAAGCCTTTCTTTTCCCTAAAATGTCCTAAAATCTGAGATAAAAACCATTAATCCAGAGATGACTCAGTGCAGATTATTTCTATGTCAGCGTACTTATTAGTCTTTGAATGTTCACTTCGAAAGCTTATATTTAAATCTTCCATTTCAACAGGATAAACATCAGTGTCAAAAGAAAACATTTAACAAGTAAAAGAGACTGACATGAGATTTTTGGAAAGATTAAAAATACCTGTATCTTCTCTATTTTGTCTTTTCAATTTCCGTTGAGCTTCCTCTGCCTAATAAAAAAAGTAATTTGAATAGGGAATTAGAAGTACAAAACAACTTAATATCCAAAACTACTAACATAATCTTTGCCACATTATCTTCTGATTTTAGAAGATTTCTATCTTTAGTTTTGTACCTACCCCCCGCCCCCCCCATCCCCCAAAAGGTTCTGTCTTGCTTTAAGATGCAGGGGAAACTAGCACAACCAAAAACTTATTTAGGTTTGAGCTCTAGGACATGCATCAAAAACTAAACTAAAGCTTCATGTTTAAGTTTGGTTTAATGCCATTTACTGAAAAAAGTATTTTAAGAGCAGACTGCTAAAAGGCAAAGTTTAACTAGCTAAGAATGATTAGGAAAATTCCTAAATCACTATGGAAAAGAACAATGCTAAGTTGTAGCAATTCTAAAATGAGTGTAAAATAAGCTAACACTATAATACAGAATGACAAATTTGTCTTCAAAAGCCAGTAAAATACAATTATACCTGTGTGTGGGTATGTATATAGTCATATAGATATTACTTATATATACACAGAACACTTCGGGGAAAACCCAAAACGGTTTGTGGTATTACTATAGGTAACTTGAATTTTCTTTATAGCTTTTGATATTTTCCAACCTTCCTACAATAAAAATGTATCCTTTTTCACTCAGTGAAAAACAGTAAATGTTGTTTAGACTAAAACAACAACAAAAAAACCTACCCAACCATTTCCCAGTACACTTGTAATATTTCCAATTACCTTGGACTGCTCTGCCCTTGAAAAGTGATAGAAATACAAATTGAACTCTTTGGCACACTCTGGTTTCAGTTCATACATGCCTTTTCCTGTTAATCCAGGTTTCCTATGGGGGGAAAAGGTCCTTAAAATATTATTATTAAAGTCATACACTAATTCATGAGACAGCCTTAGATAATAAAGAAAGCAGCACTCTCATATATTGCTGGTGAGTGTAAGTTGGTATTATTTTCTATGGGCGAAATTGGCAGTCGACACCCAAAGCTTTATGCTCGTATGCATCCATTTTCTCTGGCACACCCGCTCTGAGTTTATCCTAACTGGACGAGTGAATGTGATGGTGCAGTGGCAACGATTCAAAGGCTAACAGGGAAGAGGTTACAAACATTATGGCATCTCTAAACAATAGAACGCCATTAAAAGTGATGTTAACTTCTATAATTTGACGTGTAAAGGTGTCCGTAATATGTTCTATCAAGTGAAAAAAGTAGGTATGATTTAAGGTTTAAAGAATATTTTCTGTATGTTTAAAAATATCTTCTCTTAAAGCATGTAATGTCTTTATAAGCAACAAAAATAAAGACATCCATTGGGATGGGCTAAGAGCAAGGAAAAAGTAAGATTAAGACGTTGCCTCAACAACCTTAAGGGATAAACTAGTATACTGATTAGACAATACACTGGACACTAGAGAAGGTGATCCACAGCTCAGGTGGCACATTCAAATGAAAACAAATAAAGCAATTTTAAGGAAGCTTACTGCATTTGCTTAGATCACCTGCTACGGTTAATTTTAATTATCTGAAACTATCAGCTATGAACACCTATTCTGAATACAATGAAAATCCTCATAAAGCTACTTTAAGTTGCTGAGCACAGGGCTAGATTATAAAAATGAAAGTCAGTGAGAAATATAGTTCAGAATTACGTATTTGCAAATGTACCTCTGAAAGTAACAATTTCATTCTCAGTTCCATCAAAGGAAACACTTTATGAAAAATGAATGTATAAAATAAACTGAATGTGAAAAAACAGAAAGTAAACTCACTTGAAATGGGCAACTGCTTCAATGACACTCTCCATGCCAGTCTCCTTGTTCTCCTAGAGGCACAGGAGACAAATAAGTGTTTCCTGTTAGTATCTGCCAGGGCTCTTAGCATTGGGCTTTTATCTCGTTAAGCCTCAGACAAAAATTGTATGAGGCAGATATACTATTATCCCAATATTTATAGATGAGTTAAGAGCAAGGCATATAGTAAACATAATGATTAATAGGGAAACTTATTTCAGCTTTAATATAATTAAAAAGAAGTCATTAGCACAGGGAATCAAGGTGACAGCTTTCAAAAAAAATTAAATGAAAACAAAGTACATATAACATTTAAACAAAATTTATGTGAGATACTGTAGTATTTTGTGAAAATTATGCTAATTCTTATCTGTTTTCAGTAAATCAGCATTTCTTAAATCATATTCCATTTCAAACCAGATGTTAATAGGAATTCTGTAAGTAAAAAATGTTCTAGTCAAAATGTTCAGTAAATGCAGGGTCCAGCAGAAGTGAAGTGTGGTTGGTAGGGTAATAATATGAGTGTAATAATTTATAGTTTTAATTTGAACATTTCACCTAAAATGTCATATGGTGTGCTTGAGTGTGATATTAGTGTTACAGAATTACATGTTCATGATTTTGTAATAAAAAAGGGATGTTATTTGTGCCGGACCCTGTATAGTTGCTATCACTTTATATAATTGCGTATCACTTTAAAATACACACATAGTTGCATATCACTTTTAAAATACTGTTTTAAATTTTATTCTTCCTTATTCTGAAGTCTAAGTGAAACTGTGACTTCTTCCTCATCTAACAACTAAGGATTCATTTTCTGCATTAAAAAGTATAACTAATTTCTTGCCCTGGCCAGTGTGGCTCAGTTGGTTGGTTGTGGGTTTGATCCCTGATCTAGGCATGTACAGGAGGCAACCAATTGATACTTCTCTCTTGCATCGATGTTTCTCTCTCTTTCTTCCTCTCTCTCTAAAAAAAGCACAACTCATTTTTATCTTGATTCAATATTTCCTAATATTAAGAAGTTATTAATTACTGTTTTTCTTTTTAGCTGTGATAACAGCATATACAAGGGTGGGACCCTCCAAAAAACGGAATTATCTTCTGGAGGGCAGACCCCTTGTAGTACAGGCTTCCCTCCCTAGGTGAGTGTAATGGGAACCCACCTGTATCAGTGTACCAGCTGGCATTGTTGTGAGAGGCTGACTTCGGCTTCAGTGAATTTTTATGGAGACTCTTTCAACGAGTTTGCCCATTTCATGATGGGCGATTTACAAGCACATCTGCCGACACCACGGTGAGTGCAGTTTTTGACCAAAAACGCCATGACCCCCATGCCCCATCCACCCTATTCACCTGATTTCACCCCAAATGATTTTCTTTGTTTCCTCAGATGAAAATAAGAGTCCTCAAAAGGAAAACGTTTTGCTGGTGTGGAAAGGTGAAACAGAAAACAGAAGCACTAAAACTGTTTTGAGCAGTGGAAAAAATGTCTCAATAGGTGTATTACATCACAGGGAGAGTACTTTGAAGGTAACTGAAGTTTAAACATGTAAGAATACGCACACAACTTTTTATATTTAAATAAATTCCACTTTTTTGGGCGCCCCATCACAGATAGGTTTTCCTAAAAGCTCCCTCTTTTAATCCAAGGATGTATTTTTATGGATTTTAGAGAAAGAGAGGAAGGGGGTGGACGGGGGGCGAAGGGGGAGAGAGAAACATTGGTGGTCTCATGTACATGCCCTGACCTGGGATTGAACCCACAACCTTTCATTGTAAGGGACGATACTCCAACTAACGGAGCCACCTGGCTTCTACTCACTACATACCTGTAGCACCCACAACCTGCTCTGAGGGTCGAATGTCCCTTGGGGGTCAAAATTGTTCCTGGTTAAGAACCAGTGTTTTAGGTATGTACAATTCTATTCACAGACAAAATGGTAAATCTCTATGAAATAATCCAGTGGGGTTGTAGGGATTAGTGGTTGGGCTATACATAAAAGAAGACTGGCCATCTGTTGAAGCTGGTGATGGGTTCATTATGTTTTCTATTTCTATAGATGTTTAAAATTTTAGAAGAATGAACACTAAGGTTGAAAGTTTTGATTTATGCTTCAAATTTGGAAAAACATTTTGAAAAAAATAAATAAATAAAGTCCTTTCCCAGCTGTAAGTTTGGGTTTCTAAAGAGCCCCATGGCTGAAAAATAGGTGGCTGAGTACTGAAGATCCTGGGAGGAAAAATCATTACAACTAACCTATGTAAGCCTACATGAGTACTTTTTTTTTTTTTTTTACTTTCACTAATTATGAAAGAGGCTCGCTCACTAAGGAATCATGGGATGCTTCAGGAGGAAAAAGTTCTGGAAAACTTTATTTAGTTCACTCAACACAGATGAGTAGGTATTTCTCACTTCCTTAAAATACTCTACCCACGGCAACTTTGTACTAAGACCCTATAATATCCCCTCTATAATGGACACATAAATTCAGCTAAAAGGACTAGGTTTACTTTTATTCAGCCACTTACCTCTTTCAATGCTTCATTATACAAGATTCTATTGCTATGCTGCTTTCTACTCCCATTCCCTTGTATTCTCTTTTTCTAATTATTTCTAGTGAGAGTGACTAGAGGTAAACATGTCCTTGAACTGTAGTTTTTACAACTGCGGGAATAGGTATATAGAAGTAAATCTATACATACTAAGACTGATAGGTGGAAAAAATTGCTCTAATTTTCTTTTTAAAAATGTAGGTACTTACATCTTCAGGTAAAGACTTTACCAATTCACTATGAGCCATAGGTTTGATGCTCAATTGATGGATTATCTCTCTCTTAATTTCATCTGTAGCATTTACCTGTCCAACTCCTGGAGTAAATCTCTCTCCTGTCAACGATAAAAAAGTACACTCACACACGTTTAACATAAACACAATACTTATGTGATATATACTTATAATTCACACCAAGACAATATATTTTTCTTTCTGCACAGTGGAATAGTAATGACTGGTCTGACAACAAGCTGGGGGAGAGTACTTCTCTCCCCCAACCATACTTCTGAGTCTCAGGAACAACTGGTGAGTGTGGGCTTTAGACAGTGGAGAGAGAAATTTGGTTGCAATTTTGAAAGACAGGATCAGAAGGTGGGAAGGGATAAAATAAAGACTTAGTACAGTAGTAGTTGTGCCAGTAATCTAGGGAACTGCTTTCATGCCATCTGCCACATGGCAGCAGGGAAGGAGAGCCTTCAGTCCTTCTCTCTAGTGGCAAATGAGGTTATCACCTTCTGAGACCTACTTCATTAGTGTTACCTCTTGATAGTTGTCTGCTCTATGGACTATATAAAGCCTGAAATAGCAGGGTAGGTGGGAGAAGATGAAGGATAAAAGAATAGGAAAGATGGAGGCAACAGGACTGAAAACATAGGCAGTAAGAGAGCTGCACCTCTTGCCGTTGATCTTTGTTAACTTGGAATTATGTTTGAGGTCGATACAACACTCTTGCACTACAAAACTGCGGAGGGAAATGTGGCTAAGAAAAGAAATAATAGTAAAGTGCTCCTAAACATCCTATTCTTGCTAGCTAAATTCTGTTAGTCCCTTTCTCTCCCCCCTCAAATGTCTTCCAGTTTATTCCGCTTCAGCAGTTGTACTTTCTCCTTTTCCCAAAGCACCATGGTGCCATTATTCTCAACATTATGTAACCAGAGGGGAGAAAAATTTCCTTCTCCTAAAGCTGAGTAACTACTCAAAAGAAACATAGTTCAGGAATTCTGAACTATATGCTACCACAAAAGCCAATATAATTTATAAGCGTCTCCCAATCCAAACTTACCAACCAGCATTATAATGAGGTACAGCATTTCTTCTATTAGAGTATTGTTTTGCTGAACTACATCCTGTAACAAGCAGTGGGGGATAAAGTTCAGAGATAAGAATACAGATACTCTTATTATTTCAGATGATTAATATAACCAGAAAAAAAAGAAGAAAAAAAGAAAACTGCTTCTTTAATGGTGTGTTATGGTCTCATGAAACATGATCTTACCTTATGGGTCATCTCAGAATTAAGTCTTTTCCCATAGTCTGGAGTACTGAAAATCTGATAAAGTTCAAAGCGGCTGAGCATTATCATCAGGAAATGATTTGGATCCATCATAGAGACACCTGTCTTTTTTTTTTTTTTTAAGATGAAGGAAAAGAGGAAGGTCAAAAGAACTATTAAGAAATTAGTAAGAAATATTTTGGTTTGTACAAGAGAAAGCATCTTACTTGTTCACCAACCCCAGTAATAGGTAAAAACCCATTTAGCCCCAATCCCTACTTGTAGTAGCTCTAAGTGTGGACAGGAATCTAAGTTGGCAAAACAAAGCATAAGCAAAATAAAACAAATCAAACCCCTAAATCCACACATCAGAATAACATGGGTTATATGTTCTTTTCTCTTAATGCTTTGAATTAATTGTATCCCTCTGAAATCAATTCTAAAGTTTTATTTCAGTGTTCTTTTACCACTCTCTGGTATACAGACTCTGAGAGAAACATGGTACGGCAATAAAGCTCATCAAAAACTCAACTAATTTTTGGTGATAAACCCTACACTAACTGAAGCAACAGCTTTTATTTATTTATCTTTTAAATTTTATTTATTTATTTAGAGACAGTGGAAGGGAGGGTAGAGAAACATCAACGTGTGAGAGAAACATTGATGGGCTGCCTCTCAGCCCACAACTCAGGCATGTGCCCTGATGGGAAATCGAATCAGTGACCTTTCGGTTCCCAGGCTGGTGCTCAATCCACTGGGCACACCAGCCAGGGCAAGGCAACAGCTTTTAAATAGTAGTTTGAATTCTCCTTTAATTCCACTTGTATACATTCTAAGTCAACTTGGACTTTATTTTGAATGAATAATTTTTGAAATTTTTGAAATTTACAATTTGTAGCTTTTAAAATAATTCCTAAATCCATTCAGCAATAACATGGGAAAACTATGTGCAAAGCACTGTGTTACGCACAATGGACAAAAAAGGAACAAGGAAGAGTTGCCATGTTTAGTGGAAGGGATGAAGAGTAAACAGGAAAGCACAATCAAGAGTTATTAATGCTATGGTGGGGATAAGCACCATGCTATGGGGTCTCCTAAAAGCGATACTCAGTCATGGTCTGTGTGTCTGGGAGAGCTTCCCGAGAAAGTGACACTAAACAAAAGACTAAAACATGCAGGAAAATAAGTTACTAGGTAAATGGAAAAAGAAAGGGGTGGGGTGGGCAATCTAGGGAGCAAAATAAATAAATACACAGAGTTTTAAGACTTAAAGAGGTATCACGGCAGTTCAGGGAATTTTAACATAGTTAAGTATTGTGGGTCTTGGAAATCAGTTTAAGGGTTTTGGCTCTCTAGTCAGAAGACAATGAAGAAAGGATGGATGGCTTTCAAGTTTCTTACTCTAACAATGACATAGATCGTTGAACAATTCAGCAGGGTAGGAAACCCAAGATAAGAAGAAGGTATGGAGGGAAAAAGAGGAATTCTATTTTGAATATGTTAATGTTAACTCTGAAATATGTCCAGAAAAATCCAGATGGAAATGTTCTATAGCCTGTATGGCATACGTTTGGAGCTTAGTAGATGGGGCTAGGCTGGAGTTATAGATCTGGGAGTGATTTTAAGTGATTGGGTTTTATGGAATTAGCAAGAAGAAAACCACTCCTCATACCTTTAAGTTTAATGCTTTTAATTCATTACCTGGAGCATTATTATATCCTTGTCAAACATTTCACGTCTGCATTTCACATTATGGTAGTAATAAATCTAAAAAAAATTGATGATATTTGGTAAACAGGTTTTTATTTGTGCAGTTCATTCCTCTCCCCACATCCCAAAAGAGCACAAGGGTTTTGGTCAAGACGGTGTGCACACACACAATGTGGTTACTCTAATAATTAATACTATCTTAAAAAAGATTAATTAATTAGAAATTTCCAGATTACAATGGTCACTCTATGGTTCACACTTTGTACCCAGCTTTCTGGGTCTCTTAAAACAGTTATTTCCGTAAGGTTTATTGCTAATGACAATGGGTAAAAACCTATACCAAGCCGTGGTGAGGTTTAAAAATAAAAACTCAATTTCAGAGCTATACTAACAAAATTTTTATCTTGTAACCCAATTTACGTAGATAAAATCTGAATTATTTCTTAAATATCCAACTTTGTTCTAAAAATGACTGCAAGAGAACAATCAAGAAAATTAAGTGCATTTCCACCTCTGAAATTGTTTCTTGACAAAGTATGGATAAAAGTTTTAAAAAACTTTTTTGGTTTAATGTATTTTTTTATCTTCTCAAGTAATTTTAATATAGGTACTCAACTTTCAATGACTAAATACACTGAAAATTACATCCTTCCCAGAAGCCAAGAAATGAATTGAAAATTCTCCACAGAATTAAAGACACTGACCTGATTTACTAGAGAGAATCCATTTCTTCTCCACATTCCTGCATGTACTTGGGCACATAAAACAAGACATCTAAGAGGATGTTCTATCAGCATGGGTGGGCTAAGTTCACTCTGTGTATACAAAAACAAAAACACAAAAGTCTCAACTCTGTAAAGAAGAGCATTTGACAAGAGATGAAAATTTTAAATGAAACACAAGTTAAAATTATTTCAAAGTCTGTTTGGGTGATGGTTAATTTTATGTCAATTTGGCTAGGCCAGAGTACCCAGTTTTTGATTAAGACCAGTCTAGATGTTGCTGTGAAGTTATTTTGAAGACGTAATATTTAAATCAGTAGTTTTTGAACAAAGCAGATTATTCTCCATAACAGCAGTGAGCCTCACCCAATCGGCTGGAGGTCTAAAGAGAAAAGAATGGGGTTCCCTGGAAGCATGAAGAAATTCTGCTTCCAGACTGCCACGTCAGCTCTTTCCTGGGTCTCTGTCCTGTCCTGTCAGGCTGCTCTGCAGAAATATTTCAGATTTGCCAGGCCCCATAACTGCATGAGCCAATTTGTTATAATAAATCAATTTGTCTTTTCCTCTCTCCATACATAAACATGTGTGTGCTTTCTCTCTTTATTGGTTCTGCTTCTCTGGAAAACCCTGACTACTCAGCTTTGTTTCAAAGTGATTTCAAAAACATGAAACACAGTAAATACATATTTACTCTTAAAGTTAGTAATACTTACTAGAGGTAGGAGCTCTGGAAATTTATACGCCACTTCACTTTTGCTTAATAATACATGCAAACCTGCATGGAGGAACAGACAAAAATGTATTTTTATCTATGGGAAAAAAAATCCTACATATTCACTCAACTTTATATCTAACTTCCTTTCTCTCTGAACACCTATCATGCTACAAATTATGATATAAAATGAATTACATCCATAAATAAAGCTTTATTCTCAGGAACCCCCATATCAAAGGCACACTTAGAACTAGAGTCTTAATTACACGTACCAACATCAACTGATGACATTTTATGAAGTAAATGTTAGGCATACAAGTATAGCAAGAGCAGCTCTGTAACTATCAAAGCAATTTATGTTATGCCAACTTTAAAAGTCATTATTTCACAGGGCAATGGAGTTTCTTTTCACTTGAAATATAGTAAGTAGTGAGAGATCCTTCTGGCAAATGAACAGAAAAGCTGGTGCTGGGATTTATTGTATTGATCATGACCTCAGAATTAAGTTTTCTAGAAATTCCACTTTAGGATCAAAGCCTCTTTAGTTTGTAATGGCAAAGAGCTCTCTCATGGCTCAACCTTAGATAATTTTATTAATTAATTCTTAATTGTACTGTTTATGTTGTCTAAACAGAGAATGCTTTGTACAAGTTTATCAATAAATGCTGGCCACTTGGTCAAGCGTGGTTTGAGGCTTTCCTCATCCACGAAGACTTGCTTATAAATCTAATTCTAATAACTGATACTCAGTTTGCCACTGAAGCTCTATCAGCACACACTCTTAAGTTGTTCTGGAACTATTTTGTATACTTAGCTCTCCTATTAGATTATAAGCAGTCAGGCCAAGGTTTATCAAACACAGTGAGACAGACTGCTCAAAAGTGTTCACTGAGCTCTGGCTGGTGTGGCTCAGTGGATTGAGTGCTGACTTGTGAAGCAAAAGGTTACTGGTTCAATTTCCAGTCAAGGTACATGCCTGGGTTGCAGGTCAGCTCCCCATTGAGGGTGTGTGTGAGGGGCAACCAAACACTGAGGTTTCTCTCCCTCTCTTTTTTCTTCCCTTCTCCTCTCTAAAAATAAATAAATAAAATCTTTAAAAAAAAAAGTTCACTGAGAAGTGCTGCGGGAGGTTAACAAGGCAGGTAGAAATTGGTACATTTTCAGAGTATTGACTATTGTATTTGTGGATAAATATCAACATCAGCTACCATCCGTACAACCAGATTTTTAAAGGCAAAAAAAGCCAGCAGCTGAGTTGGATACAGGACTCACCTTCCTGCATTCCAGGTGAATATTTTTTGACAACACCATGCTGCCACTTGCCTATGTTAAGGATCAAGTTTAGTATGCTGAAAGCACTTAGAAAAAACAAAACTGGGCATAAACAACTTACAGGAATTAAGAGATTTCTTCCTACACCTACAACTTTAGGTAATTATTTTTTGTTCAATTTATTATACTATTAATATTCAGATATCTAAGTTATCTTATATCACCATGATTGCAATAACAATCCAAAAGACTGATACATTGCTATCAGCAGGACAACGTGATAATGCTCAAAACAATGAAAAAAAAAAGCCTTCAAAAAAAGAAGAGGGATCATTACTAGCAATTCCATGGGCACTATAAAGATATAAAAGGAGTAATATGAACAACTCTATGCTCACAAGTTTGATAACTCAGGTGAAATGGACCAACCTCTTGAAAATTGAAAACAACCAAACTCACACTAGGAGAAGTGGATAGCTAACCAGAACTGGCTTATATCTAGTAAAGAAATTGAACCAGTAATTAAAAACCTTGCAAAAAGTAAAGAATCGCGTCCATATGGTTTCACCGGTGAATTTTACCAAACACTTAATGAAGAAATAATACCTATTATCCATAATCTTTAGACACACACACACACACACACACACACACACACACACACACAGCCACTTTCATATCATATTGTTACTGAGCTACATACTTAAATCACAAATGCTGCAATCAGTAAAAATATCAAGCTTTAGAACTTCTCCTTTCTACTCTGGAACTAAAGGGAACAATAAATATTATATGAGTAGGACAAGAATTCCTGCAATCAAGAATTATGGAAGGAAGTGTATTGAAATCAATCTGTAGAGATGGAAGTGTTGCACATTCAACGTTTTTCGCTGCTGCAATGTGGCATCTTCAAATGTTCTACCAAGTACTGGGTTGGCCAAAAAGTCCATATGGTTTTTTTCCGTAAAATAAAGACACATTTTTCATTTTCACCAATAACATTATTGACTTGAATATTCTGAGTATGTCAGCTATCATCTGCATGGTGTAACACTGGTTGTTCTCAATTAATGTTTCTATTTGATCGACATCAACTTCAACTGGTCTACCTGACTATGGAGCACTGTCCAGTGAAAAATCTGTAGCATGAAACTTCACAAACCACTTTGACACGTTCGATCAATCACAGCACCTTCTTCATACACTATACAAATCTTTTTTTGCATTTCAGTTGTGCTTTTACCTTTCTTGAAATTAAATAAAGCATAACATGCCAAAAATGTTGTATATTTTCTATCTTCAATATTAAAATCGCTACCAAAAATTTACCAGTTTTGACAAGTTTTTTAAAAATGCACATTGATATGACAGCTGTCACCATAAAATCTAACAAAATTGTTTCAAGTAAAGTTAAAGACAGCAAAGTGCTACTAAACCCATCTTACAGAAAAAAACAAACTGACTTTTTGGCTAGTCCACTATAAAAGGTTTGTGAATCAACTATTTACAATGAAAAAACTATCTCCCCAATTTGGGACTCCCTCTTGCCGTGCTGTTTAAAAGGGTTATTAATAAATGATTAAGAAACAGCTTATATGAGAGAAAATCTATGGTGGTTTCAATTTGTCAGCAATCACTTAAGTAATAAACTGATTTGAACTGTAGTATCAGACTTTGAAGGTGGGTTGAATTAAACAATAAAACATGGCACCTGCACCTCAAAGGTCTGAAGCAGCATGGTACAATAGTTATAAACATGGCTTCTGGTGCCAAACTACCTCAAAGTTCCTACTCTGACTCTTTCTTGCTATGTGACAACTAAGCAAATCACCTCTATGTCTCAGTCTTCCCATATGGGAGGCAAACTTAATTAAAATACCTACCTCACAGACCAATGTGATGGTTAAGTTAAATGCACGTAAAACTCTCATTCAATAACTATCAATCACAAACAATTTAAAAGATATTTTAGGATTTTGGGGGGAGGTGAGAATGCTTTACCTGCAAGTAAGCGGGAAACTGGGAGGTGAATGCTAACTTTTTCTTGAGAAACACAGTATCTGATAGTTTCCACTGAATGTCCACAAATGCTTAATGTGATTGGCTGTTCACCATCAGTAAAACCACCATGACACTGCATCAGCACAGCAAGGCATTTCTTGTAAGCTTCAATTAACACTTTTTCCTAAAAAAGAGGGTTTTCTGTAAGTTACATAAAAGGCTGGGTTTCTATAACACTGAATAAGCACTTCATGTGACGATGAATAAGTACCTCAAATATTAATACAAGCAAAATCAAACCCAATCTTCCTTTCCCAACTTGGTTTCTCTTCTAGTGCCCTGTCTCAGTGAATGACATCTTTGTACAATTGTGGAAATACAGAAATTATCCCTTCCCCTTGTTCCCCACTGTCTGATCTATCACCACCAAGATGTCAATTTCATCTTCTAAATTTCTCTCAAGCCTGGCCACTTATCTCCAGTAACTCAAAGGAAAGCCAACATCTCTGTGTTAAATTCCCTGCTTCTACTCTTGCTCCCCTCCATCCAGTCTCCACAGAGTAATTTTTAAAAGTGTATAAATTGGGTTATGTCCTTTTTCTGCTTGGTAGTCTCTAATGGCCTCCCACTATAATTAGAATAAAATCTAAACTTCCTTCTACGGCCTCCAAGGCCCTGCAAAGTCAGGCCCCTGTCCACTTCGCTACCTTCAACCCCTACACTCCAACCAGAGCCTTCCCCCAGCTCCCCTAGCAACCATACTCCTCAGCACAGAGCATGATTCAGTTGTCCTTAGGTCAAAAATATTCTTTTTTCTTTGATCGGTTAACTATGATACATAGTTCAGATCTGATGAAAACCTTCTCTGACCTCCCAACCTAAACAGGCTCCATTCTAGACATTAGAGCCAAAACAAGGGCAAAATAATTTTAAGACACAAGAAATATACCAATAATAAAACTTTATTTTTGGATAAATTTAGAATCTATTCTTTTTATATGCTCAAAAATCTATATAGGATTATGAAAAAAAAAAGACAGTAACATAAGAGGAGGAGAGTACAGATTATTTCCTCTTCTATATATTTTTCAAGGTTTTTTTAAGATTCGAGAATTTTAACTTACCAAATTCATATGGGAAAGAGGAAAAGACACTGTTTTATGAGTTAAGTATCACCATTATCTTCTCCAAGCTCCTCAAAATTTACTTAAAAATCTGTTTATTCCCCCTTCCTCCATCTATCTCCCAACCCTAGAAAAAACTCACATCTAAAGCACACCAGTCCTGCATCATTGAAATAACATGTGTTAATTTCATCTGCAATGTGAAGGCTGCTTCCCACTCTGGTTCCATTTCAATGTGCTGTCCAACTTGACGTGTAATTGGATCCATTCCCTTAAAGAAAGTGAAAAGATTTTAAATGAATTAAAATTATATTTGTTCTCTTACATGAAAATCTAAAAAGTAATGTAGAAGAAATATATATTGATTATGAAAGCATATAAAGTAGAAGACTTAATAGGAAGTTTCAAGTAGTAGTATGAGAAGTCCAACTTCTTAAATTACATGTTTATCTAACAGTCTCTAAAATAGAAATTAAAAATCCCAGTAAAGTATACAAGAAATTATTTTAGAGGCAATCCTCTACATGTTTTAAACAATAAAACGAACACTTCACTGCAATGATACTTCAAATTTCTTTTTCAGTCCGTCAGGTATAGGAAAATGATTAGAAGAAATCTGATAGGCTTTTAAAATATTATTGAATTTATAAATACATTTTATTGAAAATGGCCAAAGTAGATATTGTTTCTATAGATACAAACCCCCCCACAAATCATAGAAGCATTATTATAAATTAAATACCCAACCCAGAACTAGAATATTTTCTAAAAACAGTAGATCAACTTTGTTTATTCCTTTCTTAAAAAAAGTCTGATAGTTACTAAAGGAACCATAATGGCACTTCTTAGATTTATTGAGATGTTATCTATCTTCTTATAGTTAAAACTGGTTAAATATGTCAGCTGGTTTCTGCTTCTAGATTCTGTTTTGTACATAGGTTGTTTCCAAAAGAGAAAGTTAAATAGAGGCAGAAAAGTTCTATACTGTATTATAAAATTATCACACCAAAGAAATATGGAAACATTTTTTTAAACTTCAAACATTATAGTTTCTTAAATAATTGACAATATGTCTATGTAAGCATATTAAAAAAATAAACTTTCAATCCCCAAAGGAAGACTGTTAATGGCGACCAAAACAAAAACCAAATGCAAAAAAAACAAAACAAAACAAAAAAACCTAAACCCAAAAAACAGTAGATGCCAGAACCTTTCCTGGGATTTCATTCATTCTACACCTTTTTAAAAGTTTCCAATGGACTTGGTCCAAACTGTAGCCATCCAAATCACTCTTCTGGAAATGTGTGCAAAATGAAATAAATAAATGTATGGACAGAAAGGTGTTCAGTTCAATGAAAAAACAAAAAACAAAACAAAACAAAACAAAATGGAAGAGAAGAAAAGATAAAGTGAGTATGTCCCTTTTAAAATGTGTCAGTTTAAACATACCTGCATACATTTGAGTAATTCCAAAAAGGCATCAAATCCTTCTAGGAATTTCTGCCTCAGATCATCTGACCATTCCGTTGGTTTGCTAATCAACACATACCTGAACAAGATAAAAACAGCAATGACTGTATGGATAAACACTGACATTTTATAAGTTGCAAATGGTCTGATAATTAAACAGAAGCTTACTTGAGGTCTAATATAAGGCTCTGAACTCTTCTAAATTTGAAGGCTTGTAAAGCAGTATACCGTTCAAACTGAAATCTGCCCTGGGCATCGCGATGTCTCAAATGATCCATAAAAGTCTTAATGATAATGGTCAGCAGGTTTTCTTCTGTGATGAGCATCCGAGCCTAGAACAAAGTGCATCAGAATACGTGGTAATCAAAACCTGTTTACTAGGAAGCTAAAAAAAGTCACCAACATTGGTTAGAGCTTTCAGTTTAAGGCTTTTCAATGCAACTAGAGTATAATATCATTAACGCATTGCTGTGTATTTCTAAATAACAATTACTTACTCCAACTGCCACTTGTATGAAGCAACAATTATATCACGGAGAAAGATGCCAGAATGTTAGGAGACAGATCCAAGGCTCATTATTCAAAGACAATTCAGGGTGGGGGTCTGAATCAGGTTGCAAATTTTCCTTAACTGAGACATTTAGACACCTATAATGGTATGGTATAATTACTCTAGGATCCAGAGGTTTATATCACAGATTCTGTAGAACTCAGTATAAATCTGCATTTCCTCTTAATCACCTTAGCTGAGATTTAGTTTTTGTTTCTAAGTATCGACATACATATCTATGTATTTTTGAACAAATATTTATATATATGATGCCAAAAAAAAAAAAAGGTAAAAAAAATAAGTCCTAGTTTCTGAGGTCCCCCTTGCAAAGGCAATCTTTTAGCAGTTTTCTTGCATATTCTTCCAGAGATGGTCTATGTGTGTGAGATAATAAACATGCATATACATATATATACACACAAATATACATTTATAATACATGGGTTAAGTGTAGTTAAGTAGGTAAAAGTATGGATATGTATAATTATATCTATCTTCTCCATTCCCAAAGAATAGCATATTATAAATATTGTTTTGTTGTTTTTTTTTTACTTGATATATTCTTTTCTATCATACTTTATTTAGCCAGGTCCTTACTGGTGAGACATTCGGGTTTTTTTCCAGTCCTATGTTATTACCAAAGGTGTTGCAACAAATATCTACTCTGTACAGTTGGAAGAATATTTATAATTTCCTAGAAGTAAAATTACTGGGTTAAAGTGTATATACATTATAAATTCTGACTGATATCACCAAACTGTCCCCTAAAGGAAGCTTACCAATTTATATGTCCATCTACAATGTGTACCCTTCCCCTCATGCCCTCAATAACACAACACAATTTCAAACATTTTGATCTTTATTACTCTAATGGTTTTAATTTACATATCTTACGAAGTTGAACATTATTTCTTAACAATTTGCAGTTTCTTTTTTTTCCTTTGCTCCATAGTAAAGTTAGGACTTTGAATACCACACTATTACTCTGGTATAAAAGAACATGGGTTTCTCCCCACTTATATATTCTAACTAGGTTCCAGGTGGTTATTGGTGCTAGGTGACTACTTAACTAGGTCTTACATTAGTTAATATCAGGCTTATTAGCAATACAGAAAGTTCCATCAAAATGCACAACCAAAAACTGCAAAAGTCAAGTCTAAGAATATAGTAAAGTTGTATTCTAATGTAGAGATTAAATTCTAAGGTTAACAGATAAGGAGAAAATCTATATAGTTAAGTATATTTTTGAAAAACTCTTAAAATTATCATCACATTGCTAGGACTTAGGCCCCTATGAAGCTCCAAATCAACAAGATTAACTGTTGTTAATTTTCCTAGGCGGTGAAGACTAAGGTCAAGTTTGAAGGAGGGGTGGTGTCGAAAGGTGTTTTTTGTGTGCTCTATTAGTTGATTTGAGGAAGAAGTGAGTATAATGCAACTTCACTGACTTAAGGAAAAATGCTGTAGAGCCTGCTTTCGAGACCTGTAACAGGTAGTAAAAGGAAGTTCGGTGCAGTGAAAACTTAATATTTTTGGAATGTAAACCTCACTAACCAAGGCATTGACTAGTAATTTCAATTTCAAAAGAATGTTAAGAGAGATGGTTCATCCATTACATAGTTTTAGACTGAATTCTATCTGTCTTTACTGGGTGCCAAATAAAAAATCAAAAGGGTGGCCCATTAGTATTGTCCCATTAAAGTAGGGAAGTTATTCAGGCATTTCTATTTCTAAAAAGATAACTTAAAAAAAGCATATATTTTCCAAGGTTACAATAGGAAATAAAAATAAAATCTTTAGATGCTTGGCTTTATCACTTCATGCCTAGATTGCTGCTAACTTTTCAACATAATGCTCAACTTTAAAATATCTAACATTATATAGTTCTAGTACTTCTTACCACTCACCCTAAAAAATACCTGATTTTTATGCTTACAATTCACTTTGCTTTAAAAAAACACTACTGCTATTTACCTTAATTATAGTTTTTATTCCTTTTATGTAATTCATATTCAATTCTGTGTTGCAAGTCTCATTATATATATAACAGCATGGTCAATATGGGCCAAATTCGTCCTAAAGACTCTGAAAAACTTCACTGAGTAATAATGGCCTATGCACACAGTTTTAGTTCAACTAAACATGACAGTATACAGGGATAATGCTCACTATAACCAGGGCACATTCAGTAAAATAAGATACTCTAATCACTTGAATTATTATTACCAGTTCATGACCAAACTATTTAAAGATTTTATTTACTTAAGAGAGATGGGAAGGGAGGGAGAAAGAGAGGGAGAGGAACTTTAATGCGTGAGAGATACATCAAACAGTTGCCTCTTGCACACCCCCAACTGGGGACCTGGTCTACAACCCAGGCATGTGCTCTGACTGGGAATCAAACCGGTGACATTTTAGTTTGCAGGTTGGCGCTCAATCCACTGAGCCACACCATCCAGGGCATGACTGAACTATTTAAAAATGAAGACTGTGATAACTGTAAGGTAATTCTGATTCAAACAACAGCAATAAGTGGGATTCCATCACTGCTATAGAACATTTCATTAATATATAGGGAAAGTGATCCTTAACCAGGGGTGTGTATAAGAATTAATAATGGTGCTTTTTCAAGAGACTATAGATGCACTCTTCAGCTTCTAGGCATGATGGAGTGGGTAGAAGCTCACCATTACTTCTACCAAGAAGTAGAAAAGGTCAATTCAAAACAAGATTGGAATTATCAGAGAGCTGCTTGAAGCACCAAGGATTTGAGGCAATAAACCATGGAGAAGGGAGACAGCAGAGGAAGGTGAGCAATCACCCTGCAACGACTTCTCCCTCAGTATTTGACTCTTCCAGAGATGGGGCAAGATGGGATTGAAGATTCCAGGAGCATGACAGAGCTGCCAATAATAGGAGGAAAAAAACCTGTGAAGACTTGAGAAAGAACAGAAGGGTAGAAACCAAGTCCAACTTTCTTCCAGTTCTCCCCTTAAGACACTTGCAAGATTCTGAAGCTATGCAGGACAGAAGTCTGAGGAGAGAGAGCAGAAAGCCTAATAGCGTAAGGCAGTGATGTGGCAGTCTTACTAAGTGAGTAAACAAGACTGGAGTTCAGGACCTTATAGAAGGGAGTAACTCTAGTGAATATTCCAGGCTCCAAATTGGGGACCCTTAGAAGGTTATGTCCCAGGGGTGAGGATGAATCAGAGGATAGAGTCTTTTGTTAATCCTCACCAGAGGATACGCTTTTATTGATTTTCTTAGAGAGAGAAACATCTATCAGTTGTTTCCTGTATGTGCCTCAGCCAGCGATTGAACCTGTAACCTAGGTATGTGCCCTAACCGGGGACAGAACCTGCAACATTTTGGGGTACAGGATGATGTTCCAACTAACTGAGCCACCTGGCCAGGGCAAGACAGAGTCTCGCCAAAACCACCTTGAGTCATGTCAATTCCTTACTCAACTAAGGTGATCAGCTTTATTCTATCTGCCTAACAGCGTTAGGGGGAACTTCTAGGGAGAAAGATAAAATGTAGTATGTATGATCTGTTAATAAATAGTGTTTTACTAAAAGGCAACGAAGCCCTGACAGGTGTGATTCAGGTGGTTGAGTGTCGGCATGCAAAACGAAGGGTTGCTCATTCGATCCCCAGCCAGGACACATGGCTGGGTTAGAGCCCGGTCTCTGTTTGGGGCACATGGGGGAGGTAATTTAGTGATGTTTCTCTCTCCCTTTCTTCTTCCCTAAAAATAATTTAAAAAAAAAGACAATGAGAAAGAGAGAATAGGGCAGAAACCATATTTGAAGAAAGAATGGCTTTAAATTTCCCAAACTGGTGAAGGCACCAGCCTAGAGATTTAATATCTACAAATTCCAATATCTATAAAGAAAACCACATCTAGGTAAATCATATAAAACTGCTGAGATTAAGACAAATGTCAGTAAAAAGTAGTTATGCATACCCAATAAATGAAAATGAAATCAAACAATAAAAAGAGAACTACAGATTATCAGATAATGGCATTATCATACAACAACTTTAAAATAGCTACAATTTAGCCTTGGTTGGTGTGGCTCAGTGGACTGAGTGCCAGTCTGTGAAGCAAAGGGTCGCCGGTTTGATTTCCAGTCAAGGCACATGCCTGGGTTGTGGGCCAGGTCCTCAGTAGCGGATATGTGAGCGGCAACTACACATTGAAGTTTCTCTCCTCTTTCTCCCTCCCTTCCCCTCTCTAAAAATAAATAAAATCTTTAAAAATAAAATAAAATAGCTATGATTTACATATTCAAGAAATTGTAGGAAGGAGAATTTTCCCAGAAAACTGGAATCTATTTTTAAAAAATTTTTCTCACTTCAGGGTTCAGGGAAGATAGAGTAGACATAGTTTTCTTTAGTCTTCCCACTATGTACAACTAAAAACTTTGGACATTATATGCAAAAGGAACACCAGAAGACTGAAAGGTGACGAGAAGAATGTACAGTGGCTAGAAACCTCAGAATTCAAGGAAAGACAATGATAAAGTTGTTTGTTTGTTTTCACCTCACATAATATCCCAGACTTGCAGCTGAAGAAGCTGGCAATCTGCAAATGTCAATGGGTGCAGACTTTAAAAAAAGAAAAAAAAATGCCGAGGAAAAGCCTGCTCTCTGTAGACACAGGAAAAGAATAACCTAACAAACAGAAAACTTTCAGACAATAATCCCTCAGGCCTGGCTAGCCACCACAAAAACATACTGTGGCTCCATTCCCACCAACACCCACAAAGGCCGAGTAAG